GCGGGAGAGAACTCCCCCCGGAGCGGCTGCGCCCCCCCCGCAAGACCCGGCTAGGGTTCTTCGCCCGAGAGGAGGCTCCGCGGGTGCGCAGCTGGGGAGGAGGAGGCGGCTGGCCTCGGGCGCCGGTGATTTGGGGGTGGGCCTGCGGTTTTTGCTCCTGGAGGTAATTTGCTGGCCTTCAAGCGAGTCGGAGAACTTCGGGGCGGGGCACTGTGGGTGGTTTCTTATTTTTTGGACGGGGGGGGTGTCTGTCTTCCCAGCTCTCTCTCTCTCTCTCTCTCTGTTGGGTGCCGGCTGAGCGGGCGCTGCGCCTTTGGAGAGGCTGCGTTTTGGATCGCGGGGCGCGCCGCGCGCTTTCCACCCCGGAGAGCCTCGCTTCTGGAGGCGAGGGCAGGGGGCCGGACTGGCATGCGTCTCCTCGGGCGACTGGCCCTCCTGGGGTTCCTCCTGCTCCCCAGGATCGCGGCTGCGCCTTCTCAGGTGAGGATCGGGTGGTTGTTGTTGTTTCCTTTTCAAAAGGCGCGCCAGGCTTGCGCCACGAGGGAGTTTTGGATGCGTGTGAGGGAGTTTTTTTTTGGGGGGGGGGCTAGAGACTACAGCGCCCCGAATGCGCAGCCGCGTCAGTCTCCCAGGAGGTGAGCGGGCAACTGAGGAATACAGATCCCATGATCCCCCAGCCGGCTTGCAGAAGCGATTTTGGATGGGCCTTGCGATATCCAAGGGGCTCTATCCATTGGTTAATTTTTTTAGCGATAATATGTCTTTCCTCCAGTGAATGCGGGACAAGGGAGCCCTCCAGATCCACAACACCCCTGGCCAAGTGGATCTGAGAAAGAGGACCTGGCTTAAGGTTAACCAGTAAGGGCTGGAAGGGGACTTAGAAGGGAGGTCTTCTGCTCTAACCACTCCACCAGGCTGCTTCTTGCCTTATTATTCTCCGCTGCCCTTCCCTTAAGGAGTTTCTTCTTCAAGGGGAATTCACACATCTTTCCAGCCTTCCTCAGAGGAAGGAGAAAAGCTCCCCCCCCCAAAAAAAAGGATATTAAGGCAAAACAGAGGGAAAAAGCAGTTAATGCAGCCCCTTATCTGCAAGACACAAATGTAACTTTTTTGTTAATTCTGCCCAGGAAAGTCTGTATTTATAGCTTGTCTTTTCCATTGGTGGAGGCAGTTAATGCAGCCCCTTATCTGCAAGACACAGATGTAGCTTTTTGTTAATTCTGCCCAGGAAAGTCTGTATAGCTTGTCTTTTCCATTGATGGAAAAGGGACTCCTCTTGCAAACCAGCTGGAGACAGGAAGGAATCTGAGCAGCCAAGTTCATGGCTGGCATGCTGCTGGTTCAAAGCACAGGAGCCCTGTTGGAGAGGAAAATGTGGCAACCTTCAACATGTAATGATGCTCAACTCAAACCCGCTCCCCCAAGCCGCATTCTGGCTCGGGTGCCAAGTTTTGCCCCTAGTGTAAGAAGCGTGAACAAAGGCAAGGGTGACTTGGAGCATGTGCAGAGAGCAGCAACAGGACAACCCCCCCCTTTGTGCCCCAATATCTGGGGGTTTAAGCTATGCTTTCCCATTGGATCAATTATTTAAAAATAATAAGATAGCGTCTAGGCAACATTCCCCATATCTCAACTGCGATTAAGAAAGAGAGTTAAAATGAAGATGAAACAGAGCGTTTTTACTGTGTTTCTCAGATGTGGTTATTGGTTTCTCAAAAATGTGTCGAAGGGAAATCCCATGTGAGGTCTGAGGCCATATCAGAAGAGCAACGACTGTAATGTTGGCTCTGTGGGTCGAGCCGATCCCTGAAGCCTCGGATTTACATGAACCCGTGCGGTCTTTGGCCTCTAATTTCTTGTCATCCCATTCATCTCTAGCAAATCACATTTTAACTATTTTTCTTTTTTTTTTTCCTGATTCAGCACGGCTGGTTTCGGGCACACTCAAGAGAGGAGTGCACGAATGAGTCATGCCTCCCTCTGAATGAGAAAGCAAGGCTCGCACACTTGTGAAAAAAAAGAACCGTTGAATGGGGGGGCGTTTCCTGAGCGGAAGGGGCTTGGGGTTCAGGGGAGGCGGGCGAACCCTGCACGCACACATGCCCCGAGGAAGAGAGGATGCTAGGTTGGGATGAACCGAGTTCATGGGTAGCGTGCGGTCTGCCTCTTTCCTCCGCTCTTAAGGCCCAGAGACACCTCTCCAGATCATTTCTGTCCTGGGTCTCGGGTAGGCCCCGCCAGGAAGGCTGGAGCGGCCGACTAGGGTTTTTGGGTGGGGTGGCCGTATTCCAAACGCAAAAGTGGGATACCTTCATAGACCGCTTAAAACATTTTTTTTCCTCAGACAATCCCTTTTGGGGATGAAAACACCCCCTTCATTGTGTTTGTACCGGTGTGAAGAATTTAAAGACCAAAACTTGAAAAATGTCCAAACATCCAGGGCAGGATGAATTTGGCCCAGAAAGGTGGACATTAGGAGTCTGGTGCTGTTTTATGGTGCGGATACAGAAACTGGGGTGATCATTTCATCAACTCACTAGCTTTGGCCAACGGAGGTCAGATTAAAGCCCAAACGGGTATTACCCAGCGGGGGGCAGTCCTGCTCTGATGATGATGGGAGTTTGTGTGTCTTTTCGTTGGTCCAAGGTGTCTGTGTGTGTGTCATGAAGCCGTTTTCTGGATCCGCTTCTGAGCTGCGTGGTCTGGGTTTGATTTGGGTTCCCCCCCCCAATGAAGGAATGCAAAGACAGGAGTCGAAACGAGAAAAGCAGTTGAGAGATGAAAAGGGGAAAGAAACGGCTGATTCTTAAAAATAATAATAATAATATTTTCAAGAGTTAGCCATAAGCGACTGTGGTTAGATGGCGGGGGGGGGGAGAGGAAGTACACTCATCTCTGTTTCTCTGTCTGTGTCTAACGGTGCACAAATTTCAGGTGAGTTTCTTTGCTGGAGGTTTTCCTATTTCCATCATTTCCCTTCCCTCCGACAAGGCTTGGCTTAAGCCCGCCTTATGTGTTAAGCTCTGTTGAGGGCTTCAGGCGGCCGAGGCTGCAGGGAGGGCAGCCTCCCTCCTGGCTGGGGTGGCCTCTGCTCCTTTGCCTCACGCAGCCCCCACCTCTTGGGGGGGGACCTCCGATAGTCGCCTGCAACTCAGCCGGCCTGCAAACTGGGCGCCTCGCCTGTTTTCTTCTGATTCTTATCCCTGGTTAGTTTTTGGAGATCACTGATCTTAAGCGAATTCCAAGACACTTTTTGCACAGAAAAAGGCTCTGGTTTTATAGCCCGGGATAGCGTTGCCTGAAAGAAGGGAATCCTGGTTTGCAGCCTAGAAAGCAGCTGGATAGAGCCGAGTGCTTTTTTTGGAGCCGCTCGGTTAGTTCTGCCAAGCCACCTGCTTCCATTGGGAGCACGCTTGGGGTGTTCTTTCCTCTTCCCTCCTCCTCCCTTTTTCCTTTCGTGTTGTGCCTTCTCATTGCTAAGCCTAAAGATAGGAACTGTCTCATTTTTTCTCTCTGTCAATCCGCAAACTAGTCTTGGGAGTGTTTGAGGCTGAAAAGCAGTTTAAAAAAAAAAGTCTGAAGCTGCTCCAGATACCTAAAATCTTTCCCTATCTGGCCATTCTGGGGACTGAACTGAGGATTTTCTGTAGGATCAAATGTGTGACTAGGTCAGAGTGACAGTGCCTTCGCCCTGAACATCCCTCGTGGAGAGTTTTTGGCGCTCCTCCCTTTGTGCTTCATTTCAAGAGCTACTGATGAACCCTACTCATCAGTCACGTGTTGAACCAGGAACCCACCATTCACAGCATTTTTATTATTATTATTAATAGCCATGAATGACTTACGTTTGAAGAGAAATACGGTCATTTCTGCTATTAACCCTCTGGGCTGCGGCTGAGCTGTTCCCCCGAATGTGTGAAATTCGCCTACATGTTCTCTGAAGTTTCTGGTTACATCACCGCCTGCTTTTTTTAATTTCCCAGTCAGTTGAGACAGCCGCCCTATCCTAATTCAAGGCTAGTGTCATGGAGAACCTCACCCTTGTGAATTTAACTCTGGAAAAACCTGAGAATTGCCCAGTTTGAAAGTCAGTCCCACTTCTGGACCGTAGAAGCAGAGTGGGAGGTAGGGAAGAAAGGAGCCAAAAGGAGCCTCTGAGACTACAGGTCCCATGATCCTCCACTCTTGCCCCTGTCGGATGGGCCATCTGGGTCCTGAACCCCCAAATGTCTGAAAGGCTGAAGACTGACCCCCCCGGCCCTTTACGCTTTCAATGGGGTGCTGCATTTTGTGAAATCTGAACAACGCCGACTCTCTGCCCCGAGGCGATTACAGTTTAATATTTCAGAGGGTTCAAGAGGTGTGGTTGTTTAAATTGGATTTGCTTGCATTGTGACTTTCTGTGTGTCTACGAAGAAGTAGGAAATCCTGCTCCTTTTGGCGGTGCTTATTCCCAAGTTAAGGTTTTAAGATGTTACAAATTTGAGATTCATCCCGGCAGTTTATGGGATCCAGGAGGGTTGCATCAGAAGTTTTTTTTAATATCAGAACTGGGAGCAAGAATTTAACCCCATTCCCTCTCCTCTACTTTGCATCATTTCTCCGATCATCCTTTCCTCCAGCATATATTTGTCTAACACCATCTAAAGCTTCCCTGCGCCCCCTCCAGTTCATTTTCTCTCTCACACTCGCTTTTTTTTAAAAAAAATACTTTTTCTTCGTACACGAGACTGTGGTGGTGTGAGACTACGATGCCCATCAGCCCCCACCAGCTCACAATGAGGGATAATGGGACTGGGAGTGCCGGCTCATCAGGATCAGGAGGGAGAGAGCCCAAAGTCCCAGTGGTGTTGCAGAGAGCGGGGTGGGGTGGAGGGGTTAGAGACGTGGCCCTCATATGTTATTTTTCTTTGACTACAACTCCCATGAATCCTAGCTTATGGAGAGAGATGATGGGGCATGTAGTCCACAAAAACATCTGGGGGGGCAAAGTGGGCCACCCCTGTGTTGATCTAGGACTCGGCAGGTCAAGGCTCTAGTCCCTAGGGAGTAGGGATGTGTGTGTGTGTGAGATCACATGATCTCGGGGGCCTACACTGCAAGGTTGTCATTGTGAGAATCAAAACAGGGAATGAAGAGAGAGGAGTGCCTGCTGTCTTGAGCTCACTAGAGGAAAGGCTGGACACCATTTTAACTGTTTTGAGAATCTGTGTTGTTTGGGTTGTTTTTCCCCCTCTTGGGCATGAAGGGAGGGCGTTTGTCCACCCGGGCTAAATCCCCCACCACCACCACATCATCCTTGTGGATGTCTTTGTCCTTTCTTCTGCCCCACTGAGGATTTTAACCGTGGCTTTGGTCTCTGTAACCTCCTAGGGTTCGGCTGCGTCCCGCCACGACTGCGCCGGGGGTCCCCTTTACTACGACGAAGCAGCGCGCACCTGCTGCTACCGATGTCCCGAAGGTCAGTGCCTTTTAAGGAGGATGGTGGGGGTTTTTTTGTGCCTCGTGGCACCAGGCTTCTGGCGGCGGGCCAGGGAGAACCCAGAGGGCCAAGTCCGATGGCTTTGAAAAAATCTTTTGATCGGATCCGACTCCTGCTTTTTCCTTACCCTTGGAGCGTGGCGTGCAAAAATGGAGCCTCCATGAGCCAGTGCAGTGTATCTTTGAATATATAATTCCTGTCACATGGTCAACAGGGAGGGGCTCCATTCCTCGGATCTCTCAGAGTACGTAGTAGGGAGGGCTGGGGTTTCCCAGGGACAGGATATTGTCGGGAGCTGGCCCTCGACATAGGCTCAGGGGCAACATGATTCTCAGTCTGCTCTGTGTCTCTAAAACACTCGCAGGCCCTTAGTTGGCCCATGGATTCTCATGAACCCCAAACCAGAAAGAGGCTAGACCTTAAGAAGGTCGAACTCTGTGCTGTTCTAACTGTGGTTTCCTTGTCGCAGCCGGAGGCGTCGACCGCCCCAGCCCTCTGAAATCAGTAAATAAATAAAACCCACTAGAGTGTGGTCTTGAGTTTGGGAAGGGGGGGGGAATGTCCTCCCTCCAAGAAACTGCCCTGTGAGGAGAGGTGCTTGGATTTGGCCCATGAGTCATTTAGCAAACCGAACAGCCTCAGAGCAAAAGCCTTCAAACTCCCCTCTGTAGGTGGGGACATTTTGGGTGGTTTTTATTTTCTGGAAAGAAAAAGAAAGAAAAAATGTCTGACATTTGGATGTTTTTGTGACTGCCCTTTTGAAAGCTGTGCCCGTCCTTCGGTGTGACTACATAACCCATCCTCTTTGGTCTGTAGCACTCTCCTCTCCACCCAAGTTCCCTGATGCTTCGATACTGCAAGGCCGTGTGCCGTCCTTGCCCCCCCCATATCACGTGTTTCCTCGCCTCCTGTACCTTGCAGTTTTGCTCAGCGACTGTTGTGATTGGTCCCCAGGAGGTAAACACGGACTTCATTTCCAAGTCTCACGGCCCAGGCAGAAGGTTTGGCCGGTGCTTGTACGGACCTCCGGCCCACTTCCAAACCAAGTGCTATCTTTATCGGGGTGCCCTTCCCCCTGTCTTTTAGGATACCGTGCAAAGACTGCCTGCCCCAGAGATGTTTCCAGCGGTTGCACGAAGGTGCCCTGCCAATCAGAGTCCTTTCTGAACTCGAATTATGTGACGCCCCATTGTGAGGCTTGTGTGTCCTGCAACCCAGGTATTCCTTCAGCTCTGCGCCCCTAAATCCCTTGCAGTTTTTGGACCTATCTCCACCTCGGCTGGAAAGCCCGGATTCTGCTCCTTCTGGAAGTCTTTCTGAGCCGGCCCTACCGTTGGGCAACAGAAAAGGCCAGTTGGTTTGGGTAGGGTTTTTATTTTTATTTTTTACTTTCAGCCTTTAAGGGTGATGTCGGTTCCAGTCTTTAATCAAACTATTTTAATTAAGCAATGATACAATGGTGTGGCTTTTGTTTACTGTGTTTTGGGGTGGTATTTGTTGAGCCCTTGTTAGTCGTCCTGTTTTTCACTTTCAATGTTGCCTTTTAATGGTTTATACTTTATGTTGTTTTTTTTTTAACTTTAAATGTTGTCTTTTCAGGGTTTTTTTTTAAATTAAAAGAACCTATTTAAAGCTGAAATTAGTAAGTATACAAATACTAAAAGGGGTGAAACAAATACCATACTAAAAGACGGTGTGGGGGGGGGAAGCAACATCAAAATCACATTGAAAGCAGAAAAAGCATAGCCATCCATTTAAAAAACCCATGTAGGCTTGAAAGCAGAAAAAGCATAGCCATCCATTAAAAAAACAACCCATGTAGGCAGCCAGGCACTGTGGGAAAGCTTGCCTGAAGAGAAAGGTCTTGGCCTGCTTGTGGAAGGATGGCAAAGACGGGGCCAGCCAGGGGCATCTAGTGGGAGGGAGTTCCACCGTCTGGAAATTTTTCTTTGGTTTCTCCTCCGCAGAGCGCCACCTTGTAGAGGCACAGCCTTGCACCCCTACGTCCAACCGGGTGTGCCAATGCCGGGCTGGGTGGTACTGCCAAACAACGCTGGGGAAGACCTGCCATCGGTGCAACCCCCATTCCTCGTGCAAGCCCGGGTTTGGCGTCCGGACCAGAGGTAGGAGAAGCAGAAGGTGTTCCCTTTCCATCCCTCTCACAAAGCTCTTGGTGGACGGTTTTCGTGTCTCCTTTTCAACCCAACCCTTGGTTTTTTTCCCGCCAGGCACAGCTGAGACGGACACTGTCTGCCAGAAATGTCCCCCGGGAATGTTCTCTGACGAAGATTCGAACACGCAGCCCTGCAAGAACCACACCGAGTGAGGCATACTCTCGTGGCTGTGATTTATTCAGTCTCTCTGTGTGTGTGTTTTTGTGCCAATAGGTCGTCCAGTCCTGTGGACACAATCCAGGGGACCAGAATTTTCTCCAGATACAGCAGTGCTGATCCCTGACCTCTAAAGGACAGGCGCCGGCTGGCCCTACCGTTGGGCATGGTCAGGCTGCTACATGCCTGCTTTGGCTGATCCTTCCAACCCTTGTGATTTCTGCTCTCCGTTGCTCCTTGGGATTGGGGGTCGTGGACTACCTTACTGGGCTGTTGTTAAGTCCCATCTCCTCTCATTCCCTCCCTCCTGATGCCAGCTGTGCCCAGCTCAACAAGCTCACCTGGAGTGCAGGGAATGCCACGCATGACAGACGCTGCGCTGACCAGGCGGCTGACCAGCAGCTGAACCTTGCTGTGCCCGTTGGCACCGTGGCCACTCTCCTGAAATCCCGGCCGGCCAGCATTCCGGGCACCAAGGAGCCCTCGGCTCCATCGGGCAACAGATCTGTCGGTGTGGTCTTTAGCATCACAACCGGGAGACCCCAGGCCAGATTCGACCCTAGCCACATTCCTCGTCACGCGACGCTGGCGCGAGCGGAGAGAACATCCAGAAGAGGTTCGTAGACGGGGCATCCTTCTCGGGCGGAAAGATCGGGACCGAAGAGGGCTGGGATGGGTAGCAGTTACCATTTTTTTCCTTTTGGTTTTGCAGATGGTCGGAGTTTGGCCCTCTTAGGAGCCTCGCTCCTGGTGGTGTCCTTCGCCCTCCTGGCCGTCTTCCTGTTTCTGTGGCGGAGGAGAGCCTGCGCCCAGTGGATTGTGCCCCACAAAGTGAAAAGTGAGCAAACCCTTCGAGGAAATATTTCGCCAATGGCCGGCTGTTCAATGCTTGCATGGGGAGGAAAAAAACGCACTCGGGACCAGGGTGGGCGAGATCTTTATTAAATGACTTTTTTAAAAAACCGTAAACTTCAGATCCAGTTTGACTCTGAAGTCAAACGCTAGCTTTTGTTGGTGATTTCTCACTGGTCTAATAAAGGTCTTTGGTATCTGTGTAAGGACCACATGGGGTTCCCCCCCTCCACCCGCCATCTTCTCCTTTTTGCAAAACCAGTAGGTGGCGCTGTTTCCTTGGGTTTGGCAACCTGAACTATAATCCCATTTAAATTTGGAATTTAAAAAAAGACTGGAAATGCTGAGATTTGGGTTTTGGGGCCCAAGTGCCTGGAGGAAGAAAAGAAAAACCTTCCTCGAAGCTAAAAATAGACCCCCTCCAGGCTTGAGGGTCCAAGACCAAGTGCCTGGAGGAAGAAAAGAAAAACCTTCCTCGAAGCTAAAAATAGACCCCCTCCAGACTTGAGGGTCCAAGACCTGCCACCTCTCTCTCTCTCTCTCTCTCTCAACAAAAATTGGTTCAGAAGCATCTCAGCCAAGAATGATGGCTGCCAGCCCATAATATCCTGGGCTTGAGAACAGCCAGGGTTTGACTCCCAGGCTTTTGACAGATGTGGGTTTGAACGGGTATTCTGGAGGATAGACTGCTCCTGAGAACAGAGGCTCGTCAGGATTATTCTCATGGATAGGGGAGGCTTTTAAAGACACCCTCACACCAAGGGGGGGCTAAAAAGGGAGAAAAAGAGGGTCACAAATACCAGCCCCTCCCTTTTCTAGTACCATCTGACACCCCACTGAAATCCATCTTTGCTTCATCTATTTAATGGAGTCTTGTGCTGAGCTCTAAGGATTTTAAGGATATTGGATATTATCAGCATCAAATGTTCCAGAGAAATATGAAATGACAGGAGTTATAATTTCTTTTTTTCTGTTTTTTTCCCCATTACAGTCACTCATCAGGCGAAGGTCTGTGGAGTAAGTACGGCCCCGATCCTGCAGGTTCCTCCTGCCCTCTCAAGGAGCTTAAAGGAAAATCTTTCACTGCGATGGAAGCCCTGCTTGAGGCTATATTTGCAGCCACCTCAGCCGAACAAAGGACCGCGAGAACGTCATCTTTGGAGAAGGTGGAAGGAAGTGAGCCAGGGAGAATCAAGCTCCCTGTGGACAAGAGAGCTAGGTTTCAGCTGTGTGTGTGTCCCAACTGGAGTAAACCTTTCAAACCCATGAGGAATTGTTGCGTCAACAACATAAATGCCAGGGATTCAAGGGGGCTGCTTTAGTTGGGGCTAAATTGTATTTAGATTTGTGGAACAACTTGTTCGTATGTAGCTTGATCTCCTCAGGCACTCTTCCTTCCTTCTTCTCCAAAGCTGTTGTTCTGAAAAGACAAGCAGTCAAGATTTCTGCTGTCTGTCTGTCTGTCTGCCTATCTAATTAGAACTCCTCGTCAATTACTTTGCTGTTTCCTCTCTTTGCAAGAAGCGGATTGATACGCTGTTGTCTGCGGATCCCGAGCCTGAAGGAGGAGATCCGATCACTGCCGAGGCCCTCCCAGAAACCCCCAGTGACAACCCCCTCTTGGAAATGGAGGGACCTTCCGCCCTCGAGCCGGACGGCGCGGAGCTGGTGCATCTGGACGGAGGGAGATGGACGGAACCCCCTCCACAAAGCCACACCAGCAACCGCATCGGTGAGTGAGCGGCCTGCCATGACCCAGGAGGAACAATAATCCCATCAGAGAGAGAGAGAGAGAGAGAGAGGGATTGATTGATTGATTGATTTTGGGAGGCACTGCAAAAACTGGAATAACCCAGAATATTTATGCACATATTCTTTTTCCACCCCACCTTTTCTGGAGGGAAAAAAATCCAGATGGCATAAATGGTTCTCTCCTTTTATCCTCACTACGACCCTGTATGGTAGGCAGTGTTTTGAGAGCGAGAGAGAGAGACCTTCATGTATTTGAATGCTCCCTCTCAAGGTGTCACTTCCTTGAGGGAGCATTCACATCCAGATCTTGGAAAAGTCTTTTTAATCATCCTCATCCTCTTAGCTGAGAGTTTTCCACCCCACCTTTTCTGGAGGGAAAAGTTGTCTTCTCTCCTTTTATCCTCACTATGACCCTGTAAGGTAGGCAGAGAGAGACAGAGAGAGAGAGACACCTTCATGTGTCCAGCCATGGACCAGCCACGATCACCAGCCATGCTAGCGGGGGGCGGGATTTCGGGTCATGCAGTCCATTTCATGTTTGTCTTTTTCCCCCGAAGCTTTGCTTTCCTTTTTAATCATCCTCATCCTCTTAGCTGAGAGGCAGCGCTGGAAGGGATCCTATAGATCATCCGGTCCAGCTCCTGTCTAGGAGGCACAGTGGGGGATTCGAACTCACAACCTCTGGCTCCGTAGTCAGAGGCCTCAACCACAGAGCTATCCAGCTGCTTGAACTACGTTGCCCAGAATCCCCCAGCTAAGAGGATCACCAGCAATGCTAGTGGGGGGGGGATTTTGGGTCATGCAGTCCATTCATGTTTGTCTTTTTTTCCAAAGCTTTGCTTTGGGTGGGCGTGAGTTGGGGAGCATGGGAATGGCTGCATGGTGATGTTACCCACTCTCCTATCCCTAGAGAAGATCTACATCATGAGAGCCAACACGGTCATCGTGGGCTCCGTGTCGGAAGTGCCGCCTGGGAAGACCTGTGGCCCCGGAGACGAGGAAGATGAAAACGCCAGCGTCCAAGAGGATGGCGGCCAAGAGCTGGAGCTGGCGATGCATTATCCCGAACAGGAAACGGAATTTTGTCCAGGAAGTGACGTCACAACTCCTGTCGAAGAAGAATGGGAATTCCAGTATTCCAGGGAAAAGACTTTGGCAATCTAGGGGAATGATGGAGTTGCTTCAGCTGTATTTTTAACGCATGAAGAATTAATCTTAGAATGGCAGAGCCGGAAGGGACCCTCTAGATCATCCAGTCCAGCCCCTGTCAAGGAGGCCCCGTGGGGGATTCGAACTCCAAGCCCCTCACTCCAGAGACCAAAAACCGCTGAGCTATCCAGTAAAGACCTTGGTGAAACTTTGCAGTGCTTCTTGGGGGTGATGGATCTAAAACGAAGAGATTTTTAAAAAAGGTTCATCGGCTGCAGGTTTTAGAAACTGAAGATTATTGGATGGGATGCACATCGGCCTTTGAGTGATCAACCCTTTGGCAAAAAGGGAACTGGGTGGAAAATATTGCGGGGTGGATTTCCTAGATCTGAAAATGCTTATGGAGAAATGCAGGGGTAACCTCAGCCCTGTTTTTATTTGACTTCATTTGGATATTTAAATGCTTTTGGATTTATAGGGGTTTGGAATGCTATCGATTTAGGGTTTTAAAGCAAGAACATGCATGCATGCAAAATGCACAGCCACCCCACCTCAAAGGACCTACTAAGGTGCTGCTGTTGTTTAGCTTGGCAAAATGTCATGTCGTCATTGTGTTAGGTAGCTTGATACTCTCAGGCTTGCTTCCTTCCTGCTCCCCTGTAAAAATTACCAACAGGAGCAAAAGCTTTCTTGAAGCATTCCCGAGTACTGGACTCCCAGAACGAACTCTCTTTTTTGGATGTCAAGCGTCGTATGCTCCGTTTGGGTCCAATTTCTGGGTCTAGGTGGGATTATCGTTCCTCGCTCAAGGCCTGAGGAAGGGTAGGGCGCCCTTCAATGTGTTTCTGAGATTACCGCCGCTCCCAGCTTTTTACGGAGGCTTTTAAACTCCATTACCTCTTTGCCCAAAGTCTTACAACGGCCGCCTGAAGTTCTGTTTGAAAAGTATAAAGAAATGTTTGTTCTCTCCTGCGTGTAATCGCTCGGGGACGTTATCGGGGTGGGGGGAATTGTAAAAATTGGTGTGGGTTACTGATTAACGCGCCGTCCCCTTTCGTAAAAAGAATAGAAGGCCGCTTTTGGCCAATGGCGAGATGGACCAACAGCAAACAAAGCCAAGCCTCTGTGTTCCAGGAACAAAGCCCGTTTATAAAAGGAACTTTCAGATCTCCGGGCCCCGGACTGGATGCTGGTTTGTCCTTGCTCCACCTTGTTGACGCTGCCACGTTTTCTCCATGGAAGGCTCCACGGACCGTTTACACACTGAGACGGAAACTGGCGCTCCTGTTCATGGGGAGAGCCAGCGAGAAAAGGCAGAAGAGGACCCTGGCCGAACAGATGGGTCAGAACCGTTAGAGAGTCCCCAGAGTCCAGCGACACAAATGGACAATGGCCCAGAGTGCGAAACATGCTCTATCGAGAAGCCCCAACATTTCCCTGCGAGAGAAGATCTACCTCCAGAGGCTGGGGGTGCGGGGCTCTCGGTCTCTCCAAAGCCCCCCGATTTGGATCCGGGGGAACCTTCGGAAGGGTTTGCCGTCGGGGCCGAAGTCCCGCCCAGGCAGACACGTCTGTCCAAAGCCTCGCTGGCCGAAATGGACTGCCTCGTCTGTTTCAACCGGTATAGCCCTTGCCGGCCACCTAAAGTCCTGGCCTGCCAGCACGCCTTCTGCGCTGTCTGCCTGAAGCTTCTCTTGCGCCACGAGGACCGCACCTGGGTCATCACCTGCCCCCTGTGTCGGAAAGCCACCGTGGTGTTCGGGGGCCTCGTCTGCAGCCTCCGGGACAAAGAGGAGGTCGTGGGTCGGCTGGAGGGCCTGGCCTTGGAGGTGGAGGAAGCCTGCCCCCCACCTGATCTTCCTGGCGAGAGCCCTGCGGACCCTCCATCCGTCTCGGGGAACGACGAGGAGGCAGTTGGGATGACCAGCAGGGCGGCGGCGAAGAGGCTGGTGCTGCTTTTGCTGCTGGTGGCGGTCCTGATCGTTCTTGTCCTCCCCTTTCTCTACACGGGGCTGCTGAAGTGGGCCCTCTGCGCCCTGGTCCTTTTGGGACTCATTCTGTCCATGGTGCTTTGCTGCAACCCTCGGTGGGGATGTTCGGGCTCAGATGTCTGTTCTTGGCAGAGGAAAGAGAGCCAGGTTGCAACCATTGCGTGAGGACCTTCCCTGCCACTGGTTTTCGCCTTACGCTCTCGGGTCTCGTCCTGTGGACCGGTCGAGAGCAGAGTCGCGAGGGGCCGTCAGGGCCCAATCCGCCCAATGGACGCTGTGATCAGCAGGGTTGAGGATGCCAGGGCTCTCCCACGTGCCCCTCTCGCTCTCCTCCAGGTATACCTTCACACTTCCCTGTCACATAGGGAGGAAAGGATTTTTCCCGGCTGCAAGTTGGCGAACTGTTACGCTCGGCAGTCTGAGCCCTTTTTGGGTGTCTGTGTGTCACGCTCTCGAATGGACAATCAGGAGCCGCTGACTTGGCAAAAGACCTGCTCCTGGAAGGAGGGGAAGATGCCTGGAACTTGATAGGATTCTTGATCTGAATCCGCCCAGCCGCGTGGATTTTTGGATCTTCCCTTGGGGTCGCGGCTCTGAGGACAGTCAAGGAGGGGATGACCGTCCCCTGCAAAAAACCAAAACTGTCCAGCTCCCCTTTTGCTGGGATGCATCAGTGTGGAGCTGCTTCTGATGATGGACCATCGGGGCAGGAGAGATAATTTCTCTTCCCCCTGCCCCCCGAAGACTCTCAGCAGGAACTCAGCATGCATCGGCTGGCAGAGAGGAGGCCTCATCTAATAAGCCCTCTCTCCTTCAGTCCAATGTACAGATCAGACTCATGAGTCCTGTTCTTAAACAAGAGATGAAGGGAGACAGGAGAGGAGCATGTGTTAAAATCTTCCATATCTCTTTTCCCTGAAAATCTTCTCAAGCCATGCAGTAAGGCATCGCCATGCACCGCTACTGCTGTCTGTCATGTCTGGGTCAATGTCGTGTTTTCCAGAATAAAAGTTAATTTTTTAAACCTTTGAGCACTTGCATTTTATTTTGACCCAAAGGCTAACTCAGCAAAAGTGTGTGTGTGTGTTTGTGTGTTATAAGAAAACAAGGCGTTGAAGCATTTTTCTCTCATGTTTTTTCCCCTTTCTTTTCTGCTTCACTTGTTTGCTTCCAAATCCAGCCCTAGGGTCTGCCAGAAGCTGAGTATTAAAGAAATACTCAGAGTGAATGATTGAAACTGTAAGGGCTAGTTAAGGAGAAAGGAGTGGACTCTCTGGAGAATTTGAAGCTATTTCCTCTGTGAGTCTCTGTCCTCCTACAGCATAACAAAACAGAAATTTACTGGAAATGCAGAACTCTGCCACAAGGATGCTCTCCCCCCACCCCAACCTTGCTGTTCTCAAAAACTGAAATGTCTTTCCAAAGCCCACATCTTTGGCAATAAGAGCTTTAATCTCAAAATACACTGATATTTTGGGTCCCACCCTTGTCCGTTTCGGCTGTGCCCCTCACAAGAATGTGCTACAGTGTCAAATTTTATTCTTCCAAAAATGAATTCGGTCCTTGAGTGGAAGGAGGTTCTCCAGCCTGGATTGTTTTAGCTTAGAAGGAGGGTTAAAGTTTCACTTTGCTGTGGTTTTAAGGTTCTGAATGCAAACCGCTCTTGCAGAGTTGGCTTGTGGGACAGATAACATGCCGCCTAGATGACAATTTATTTTATGAGTCACTGTGCAGCCTCTGAAAGTGTACGAAATTGAATCTTTTTCTTCTCAGTCCCTCCCATGACAAATGGCAAGACGACAAGAAAATGATGAGGAAAACAACATATCCTTTGCTTCTTGCTAGAACGTCAGCAAGAGGAATAACATATCTACGACAAGAAAATGATGAGGAAAACAACATTTCCTTTGCTTCTTGCTAGAACATCAGCAAGAGGAGATGAACAACATATTCCAGATGAGAAAGACATCTCTGGGCATGAGCACCGGGGCCAAAGTGGGAGGCACGCGCTTAAAAGAGAAAAGAAATCAAAGAGCGCCTAACAAAAGCGGAGGAAAGGGAAGCTAAAAATAGGGATCGGCAGAAAGCTCAGCTTTTGAAGAGGCGAGAAAGATTGGCAGAGAGAGGCAGGGAGCGCCAGCCCCTTTTTTCCACGGTTTCTTGCAGGCTTCAAAGAGAATCCAGCGGATTGCTACTCATTTGCTGCTTGGCTCATGCTTCATACCGTCCAGAGGTTTGCTGGTGTGGGATGCACCTCCATAACAGGGAGACCGTCCTGTGACTTGGACAAAAAAATAAAAATAATTGCTGGTGTGGGATGCACCTCCATAACAGGGAGACTGTCCTGAGACTTGGACTAAATAAATAAATAAATAAATAAACAAACAAAGCAAAAAGGTTGTAAGGACCTTCAAGATTAGCTGTTTTGTTTGAAGGCAGGCATTGGTTGAGAGCTGAACAGGAGATGGATTGACTCCCTCAAAGAAGCCACAGGCAGGGGTTTTACAGATCTGTGGGATGCACCTCCATAACAGGGAGACTGTCCTGAGACTTGGACTAAATAAATAAATAAATAAATAAACAAACAAAGCAAAAAGGTTGTAAGGACCTTCAAGATTAGCTGTTTTGTTTGAAGGCAGGCATTGGTTGAGAGCTGAACAGGAGATGGATTGACTCCCTCAAAGAAGCCACAGGCAGGGGTTTTACAGATCGCTCATGCCTAGGGTTGATGTAAATCCGAGGCCACTTGGTGACACGTAACTATAAGAAATGGTTGGATAGCTCTGCTTCATTGTTAACTCTGTGTTAGCTGCACAAAAATGGGGGTCTAGAACAGTGAGAACAGCAATATAATACTCCGCTTTAGTGAGTTAAGACTTTCCACAGATGTGGTCCAGATGCTGCTTAAATGTAGACATATGTGTTTGTCCATATCAGCATGGAAAGTCATGTCAGGGTACCAGCCAATTTTTTTTTAAAAAAACTTTTTATTTCCCAAGAACCCCCATTCTGAGCAGATCTGATAAATCTTTTAAGTTCAGGGCACCTGGACTCCAAAGTTTAAGTTTTCAACCTAAGGCAAGCAACTGGCTGAGCAAATTTCAGAGCGAATTTTGAGGGATCTGGTGATAGGGAAAGTCTGTAGCTGTTGATGATATGAAATGTAACCAGGCTGTGAATCCGATTTAAATGCACTTCCCTATAAACATTTTTCCCTCCTCTTAAGCTCTGAGATCCTTGTCTTCTCTGATTTATACTTTTCTTTTTAAAATGTTTAAATGTAGGCACTTGATTGCAAAGGAGGAAAGGGGGGGAAGTAAATAAGGGGAAAAAATCTATTGGACTTTAAAAGTTATGAACTTACAAAAAAAACTCCCTTGCCCCGGGAAATGCAAATAATTTGCATTTTTCATCTCCTCCCCCAAATGAAATTATGTCAAGACGTCAGTTGTGTTAAAAGTCATAGAAGGCTGATAAGAAACGGTGGGCGCCGGTCCGCTACGACCTTGGCGTAGCGCGCCCCTTTGACTGCGGTGGTGACGTCAACTCCGGTGCGTAACTCCCTTTCCGGAATCGCCCCCTCCCTCCGCTGCCCTCGCCGAGCAGGCCTGGGCGGCTTTCCGGAGCCTCGGGCTGGAGTGGGCGCGGGGCCGGCGGAAGGGGAAGGGGAGGCGGCCACGTTTCGGAGGCCTGAGGCGGCCCTTCCCCAGCTCCAGGACGGCCAGGTGCGGCGTTGTTGCGTGGGGGGCGGAGCAGAGGGAAAGGCTTTTTTGGGGAGGGCGCCCCATAATTGGAAATTTAGGACACAGCGATGAGGTTTCATATCGCCCACCCCTCAAGTAAGGGGTATTGCAAACTTTCTCCCTTCCCCTCAAGAAATAGGGATGTTTTTTTTCGGGGGGGGTGCGAGGATAGCAATAAATTAGGGAAAGAAGCAGTCGTCCATGAATAAGATTTTCTCATTGGACTTTACGAGCTTTTCCATAGCAGTCGGGGAAGTTTGCGTTTTGGACTACAGTTCCCATAATCCCCACCTGGGGAGAGGTTTCTTGGGGTTTCTAATTCAAACCTTTCCAAGCTTCCCTTGCAATTGCAAACTCGAAAAGATTGCACTTCTCTCGCCTTTGCTTGCATTTATTTGAGATGGCTTCATTGTTGCAAAAAAGCCTGGATGTAAATAGCTAATTATACAGTATTGGATGTTTCCCCCCACACACCTCCTCTTTGTTTATTATTAGCTGCTCACGGAACTGTGGATAGGAAGGGCATAAAGCAAATAAAACACAAATCTGTCCGATCTTAGTGGCTTGTTTTGCTGGATCCCAGTTTAAAAATCAGAATAATGTGACTAGTCCCTGTTGATCCTGGTGGGGTGATGGATGAAGCTTTTGGTGCCTTATGGGTTTCCTCAGCCCGCACATCCTGGAATGAATATATTGTATTCATTTAAAAATTTTGCCACCCAGTAGCTGAAGGGATAAAACAAAATTACACATTTTAAGGCACTGCACTTAGGGCTCCTTATTCATTGCATTTTGCAGATCACATTTCTGCCACTGCATCCTCTCACTGGCTCCAGAAAAAAAAAGTTTATTATTTGTCTGCTTCTTCATCATCTCCTGCTGGCTGGTTAATAAGTTGATTTTATTTTATTTTAGTGACCTTTATGTGTTGCACCACAGCAGGCTGCTCTCAGCAGCTCACCCTGCATGGGGTACAGTTTATTTATTTATTCTTTGTGTCTATATCCAGGTTTTCCTGCCGTGTGATCCATGACCCACCTGGGTAGCCCTCCTTTTCATTGCTTTCTCTACACAACGACCCTATCAGGTAGGACAGGCACAGAGAGAGTGAGACCGGCCTAAGGTTGTACAGTGAGTTTTATGGCTGGTTAATTTGCTAGATAATGGAGAGGTTTAGATCAGAGGTTGGTCTTCTTGACAGCGCCTGGACTTCCATCTCTGCAGTTTTCTAAGATGATGATTATTACTATTGGATGCTGGCATACTACAGGAGAAGAAAAGATAAAAAGTACCTGCGGGGCAAATTTGAAATAACTTTCCACAGAAATGGATGGCATGTCACGCTCATGATCATGTGATTCACTATTATTATATGTTGTTTCTCTCCAAAGAAGGCTTTTGGAGTATGAAAACAGTTCCTGTTTATAGCCAATGGCCACTAAAATAGATGTCACTATGCTGTAGGTGTGTATACATAAAACTTTTACTCCATGAGGAAGCTAACGTATTAAAAATACAGAAATGCAACCTAGGTAGGGTCTTGTTTGAAAAGCACAAGACTGGCTGCTAAAAAATTCCAAAAAGCTTTTAAAAAGGGTTTTTCTCCACAACATGATCAATTATAGAGCGTGGTGCAAAAGAATTTATTTTGCCTGATTGGCTGAATTAAATCATGCTTCCCATTAACGGAATGATAAAGTATAGAAGGGAAATGCAAGGTTTCCATCATAATTTCTAAGAATCTGCCCGCGTTCAAGCCTCCTTTCTCCTGTACATGTTAAGTGACATTGTTTTGTTTTTTTCAGTGACACTAGCAATATCTTGTATACACATGGCCTTCTGCAGGAGAAAGGTGGTGTATAAATATTTTAAATAAACAAATGCACAACAAGATGATTAGCTGATAGATGTATTGTGTTTGTATCTACTTGCAGGAGTGCTGTTGTTCATGTCCTGGGATGGAGAAATCACATGTTTTAAAAAGAAAACATATACAGTGCAATGTTACATGGAATTATATCCCTCTTTAGTTGAAACAGACAGAGTGAGATGAAACAGACAAGGCTCCCCCGGTCAGGATCTTTTTTGACTTTAGGATAACTCCTTTGGTAGACCCTCTCCACAATTAATTTGATGAAAAGCTGAGGAAATTGTCACTTCCCAGGTGGAGGGAGGGAAATTCTGGGCTACAGCCTGCCCTGCTGTAGATTCTTTACAGAGAGGGCAGGAAAGCCCCCCCCCCAGGGTTTTGCACACTTTCAAAGTCTATCTGGCATCATGGCGCAACACCCATCTATTGGGATTTTGTTCCGTGGGGGGTGGTGTACGTGAAAGAGAGGCTGTCATGCTCTTTTTTAAAAATTATTTTTAAACCGTTGGCAATGATGTTTACCTTTGCAAGAAGCAAAAGATTATGAACTGCCCTTCAGGCTAATGTCAAGAACCAAGCCATAAAGATGCAGGAGGCTGTAAAAAATTATAATAAGAGCTGTGAAAATAAACAGGGGTTTCCAGAGCTTTCCGGAATCTCAAGGTTGTCTCTCTCTGCCGAAGCAGGAGAGGGAAGAATACAGTGGTCTGTGAAGGATCTGAGAGCTGAAATGTTAGAACTACACCTGGCTTTTTTTTAAAGGAGAGTTTGTTAGGTTTGTATTAGGATGGTCGGCTTTGTCGAATGCAACGGTCGCCTCTAGACGACCGTGTAGAAAATGCCAGGGACCTGGGAAAGAGAAAGCTTTTCTCATATTTTAGACATTCAGCATCGGAGCCCCGAAGAAAGCAAGGTAGATTTAAGTTTTAGCTACATTTATGAGCATTCCTGTCTTCCACCTCACCTTTTGTCCATGGCGCTCCTTAGTTTTACTTTATCCTTACCACAGTCCTGTGAGGTAGATCAGGGGGAAAGAGGGAGACCTAGTTGAGGTCCTCCTAATGTGTTTTTTTTTGGGGGGGGGGAGAGATCAGGATGTAAAGATCTGAAATCTCACTAAAAACGGCAAGGAGATGAAAGATGGTCTGTTTTTCTGGCTGGTTTGGTGGTCGAAGGCAGGCCAGGAAGAAAGGGAAGAAAATTTTGATTGTATCTTTATATACAGTATTTGGGAAGCTGAAAACTGTCTCTCTCCATGGGTGCGTCTGGGTTCACTGGGGGCCAAACCATTACGAACGCCTGAGATGCTGTGCTAGGCATGACCGAGATCTTGTTTTCCAAAACCAGAAACCACGTGGTCCACTGTCGTCATGTGCAGGAAAGAACACATTGTCATCCCGATCCTCAAGTCTCGCTGTCCCACTGTCAATTTGAGGAGTAATTCTGTTTTATTATTTTGTTTTCATCCTGTGGACTTTGCGCTCCTTGGCTGTTATGAACGGATGTGTTGTTTCCACACAAAGGGAGCCAGAGGATGTGTGGCGAGGAAAAGGGTGGCTGTCCGTGCAACATAACCCCTCCCAAAGACCACCTCCATGGCCAGAGAAAGTCATGTCCTGAGTTTAATCCACACTTCCCTGAAGAACCCGCTGTGGAAAGAGCTATTAATGGCTCCGCCTCGTGCATTTCTTAGAAAAATCAACATGTTCTCAAATTATTCTGGCCTCAACCAGATTTTCCTAGGATCATTGGTTCATTTGCTTTTTAACAGGAGGCACTTCCGTTTGTTTGCAGGACCTGTTTACTAAAATCTGGATATTTTTTATATGTATTTCTGGGTCTGAAACTCTTTGGATGCTGGTTTGAAGGTGAAAGTGGAATATAAATAAATAAAGCTTATTCTTAGGTTCTCCCGTACATGCTCATTCCCGGAATCTCTCTGTCCATCTGTCTGTCTGTTTCAGACGCTAGTGAAAATGTCAGCTGGCCACCGAGATCGCTGGAGGCCTTGGGACAGGGTGGCCGGGCAGACTGAGAAGGACGAGACCAGAGAGGAGTCTCCCCAGGGGGTCGGCCGGCGGCTCGGCGAGCCAGGGAAGTTTGCTTACACCGCGCTCTGTGCCATCTCCCTGGCCTCGTTATTTCCCGAGCAAGAGGAAACGTGAGTACGTCAGCTGTGTTCATTCCTTTTGGGATAACGACGAAGCCACCGCGAACTGTGGCGATTGGTGATGTCTATAACGATTATTCCTTTTTAAAATTTATAATCGGCGTTTACCTGTTTCTTTGGGAAGGCAAAAATATTTCTCAGTTGAAGGCTCTGTCTTCAGCTTATTAGAGGAATATGTTTTTCACACATAAAGTTTATGTGTATTGATATGCTTGATATGCACACATACACAACACACACACACATTCCCAATCTGGTGTAGTGGATGGAGTGTTGGACTACGATTCAGGAGGCGGTTGGAGATCGTTTTGCAAGAGAAACAAGTAACAAGCTTGGGGATTGAGGAAACTAATGAACTATTAAAGGGTAATTTCAGAAATTCTGCACTTCGGTCCCTTCCTGGGAAGGCCGAGAGTGATATTCGTCTACGCTTTGCCGTCTTGTTTCCAAAGCCCGTACAGGACAGGCGTGGTGGAGGGCTTTGTGAGGTGGCTCGAGCTTTCGGACGCCGTCCTGCCGGCCATGCTGGCCTTCGTCAGTGGCTTGGGAGGGGAAGGAACAGAGACCTTTGTCCAGATCCTGCTGAAGGAACCCCTCCTAAAAGAAAATCCAGCCATCATCACACAGGTAAGGCCCAGCGGACCTGTGGATTCCAGCCTAGTTTTTAGAAACTGTCTCGGTGGTGGATTTGCAATGGATCTTTGGAACGGGGGACTAGGGCGACACGGATTCAAAGCCCGGGTGGGTCATCAAACGTCCCTGGATCGCTTGGAGCCACCCACGCCCTCTCGGCCCGACCTGCTTCACAGGGTTGTCGTCAGGATGCGGGACAAAAGGAGAGCTGTATAAACTGGAAGAGTGGCAGACTATCCGTGTAACACTAAATAGCCGTAAGGCAGCCTCTCGCTATCACAGCAACCTGAAGCTGCGCTGGACTATGGCTCCCATTATCCCCAGCTGGACCAAGCTCCCCCATCTTCCTCTAGAGCAGGATTATGTACATTATGGCGGGGTTTTTAATACATCCGGTCAGGCCCTTTGAATGTGGTTACAGTGTGAAAGCAGGGTGGAATATTATGTAATAACAAAATTTGGAGTGTTTTCCCTCTTGGATACGCTCCCAGCGCTTCTCTTTCTGTTTTTCTCTTAGGACCTTGTTTCTTTTTCTCTCAAAGAGGGTGAGTAAGTTGTGCCAGCTTCTCCTCCTCCCTCCCTCCCTCTCTCTCTCAAGAGATAAAAGAGCTGCAGAGGGGGATACAGAAAGTATTTGACTGAGAAATGTATGCCTCCACCCTCGACCTTCCAGGTTACTACGATGCTCGGACACGGGTGCTGATCTCCCACGTGACCAGGCTTCTGGGAATCCCGCTCGTGGAACTCGAGGCCTCAGAGGCATGTCTCCTCGAATGCCTGGATGAAGAAAAAGAGGAAGAGTCAGAGTAAGACCCTTTTCCCATCAGACCTTAGGCTCAGAATAGACTGAGGCAGAAATCTGTGTGTTCACAAGGGTTCTGCACCAGGGACAATGGCGGTCACGTTATGCGTTTTATCCATGTGTTTTTACCTCTTTTTGAAGAAGGGTCTGCCTTGAAGCCTTTGAGCCCATGGCGGGGAGGAAGGGGGAAAATGTCCTTGGGCCAGCATTAAATTTGATAAATCCATACATACCAGCCAGCTTTTCGGGGATCTTAAACCATGGATTCCTTATTTGAAGAAGTTGCTTCTAACCCACAAATCCAGATAAATTGGCCAGGCACCAAGATGGCCATTAAATTTGATAAATCCATATTAGTGTGATACTTAGAATCACACTTAGTGTCACACTTTTCCTCTTAAAATTTACATTATGGTGGGTTTTTTTAATAAATCCGGTCAGGCCCTTTGAATGTAGTTACGGTGCAAAAGCAGGGTGGAATATTATTTAATAAATTTGGGGATGAGGCTGTCATGGTGTGTTCTCTGGGACAGGAGAAACCTAGGCAGTGTCTCAGTGAATTTTTTTAAACATGCAGTTGTTGTTAAGGAGATGTACATACATATTTTTAATACTTACTGTTTTTATCGTACAAGCTTGCCGACCAAGTAGGAAAGCGTTTCCAGGTAAGTCAGGCTGGCATTTTATATGTAACTTCTGTTTCTGAGATCTGCCACTTATAAATCTTTGTCATTGGAAGAAGAGTCACAGTTTGGTGGTGGGTGATGGTCTTGCGTCCTTCCTGCGGTGATGAGATTGGAAGGCCTACTGGGGCTGGTCCAATCGTTCGACGGACTGCGCCAGCCGGCTCTTTTTTGAGTTGTCCCGAAAGGGCATGGAGTGTTTATTCTGTTGTTCGTTGCTTTGGTGTTTCGTCTGCCAGGTGTGTGTGGGGGAATGATATTAAGAGAAGCATAAAAGCTGGGCTCTTTGATTCGGGGGGTCCAGAATAACTCAGCCTTTTTGCTGGGTGTGGCATACAGAAGCTACCTGTGCTGGCTGTTTTAGACTACAAATCCCATTATCCCCAGCCACACTGCCGGGGGAAGGATTTGAGGAGTTGCCATCCAAAGGATTCCCAAGCTTTGAGCTCGCCTCCGAGGACAAGCATCCTCACTTAAGGGGGCGGCGGTGGGGGGGAATATGCGGCGGTTCAGTATCTCTCGGGCCATACCTGCAAAGAAAGATGGGAGACAGCAGGAGAATAGGGTGGACCCAATGCGAGATGGACTGATTCCCTAAACGAAGCCCCAAGCTTGGGTTTGCAAGAGCTGAGCCAGGGCCGTCGAGGAGAGGAGATGCTGGAGGGCTTGCTCCCTCATAGGGTCACCGTCATCAAGAGCCACATTGCCTGAAAAGGGAGTTCAAGTCCCATTCTCCCCCCTCCTCACCTGATGCACCTCACCTTTTCTCCCTCTCAGAATGGCGGAGGCCTCGCGGAAGAAGAAAGAGAAGAGAAAGAAGCTGAAGCGCTACCTGCTGATCGGCCTGGCCACCGTGGGTGGCGGGACGGTGATCGGTGAGCGAGAAACACACACACACACCCGGGATTCCCATTCGTAGTGTGGGTTCGTCCCCATTCTAAAAAGTCCAAATCATGACACATACACACACACACACCTCGGGTCACTTACAGTAAGAACCTTGAAATGAAATCCATGGGGGTGGGGTGTCTTTTGAATCCTGCCCTTGACCACAACTGCCCAAAGACCGGGCCCTCTGAGGACTTGCATGGAATTTAATTGGGTGGGTGTGTCCGTGTGTGTTTGTAGGTCTGACCGGGGGCTTGGCCGCCCCGCTGGTAGCCGCAGGGGCCGCGACCGTCATTGGGAGCGCCGGGGCGGCCGCCCTGGGCTCCACAGCCGGGATTGCCGTCATGGCCTCGCTCTTTGGTGCTGCAGGAGCCGGCTTGACCGGTGAGTTGCTGCTTAAAAAATATCTCTCTTCCTACCCAGCTGAGTCTGAAAGGGGGCCGGGGGGCTGTTAATCTAATTATAATTTAATGATATCAATCTATATCCTGCGCTTGAATGCTGAGAAATGTTTCTCGGATCGCTTAAATCATAAAACAACGCCATGCAACTAAAACCGTACCTGTTCGCCCTCCCTGTCCACCCCCCCACACCCTCCTGGGAAAGGTGCTTTAAGATAAACAGAGAAACCCTATGTGGCAAAACTCTTGTGTAAAGACAGATGGAATTCCAGTTGGCTGCGGCTGAATTACAACCCGTATCTCTATATACACAGTGACGGTGGGTTCAAGACTCTTTCCCCCCCCACACACCTCCACCCCCCTGGTATTTATTTTACTTCTGTTTGGCTGGGCTGTTTGTATTCCCGCATCATGGGTTCGGCCTTTAGGTTTTTGCACATTTGCACAAATTTCGTGGCTGAGGGTGTTCCCAGGCAGGACAGAAACCAGCACCTAGAAATGCAGCCGTCTCTTTGGGAAGATCTGAAAGTTTCACTAAGGAGTGTTCTTTTAAAATAGCATTATTTACTTTTGGGTGTTTTTTTAAATAACCCATCCAGTTTGATCTTCTCCTTCTTTGTCAAGGTGTGGTTTTGTTCTTTGGGTTTTTTACAGCTGATTCTCCTCCCTCTCCCAGCATTCGTATTCAAATGGAGCCAAAATAATGGCACCAGTGAAGCTGCCATCTTGTGCTTTCTGGAACCCGTTGTGTCTCAAAGTGTAGCCGTAGCATTTTAGAATGAAGTTTCCAGTCCAAGGGCAGTCCCACATACAGTGCTTTGCAGTAGTCTAGACTGGGTGTGATTCAGGCCCCATTGTCAGCTTGGCCAAATCAGTCGTGGGTTCTTTCAGGTTAAAGATCTTGGCAGCATTGTCTCCTCCTGTTGTAGCAACAGAAATTTTCTGTCTTCTTTTTGAAGGTGTCTTTCGTGGGAGGCCCCACAAGATAAAGTTGTCCTGAGTATTGTGGCCCCCCAAAAATCCTGCCTTGTGGCTTGATTTTTCTTCTTCTTTCCTTTCTTCCCCTTTTAAGTGCCCAGTTATTGAATTCTACACAATCCGACTGTGTCCGTATCCCTGTGTGTGTCTAGGGTATAAAATGAAGAAGCGGGTGGGTGCCATTGATGAGTTTGAATTCTTGCCTTTGACGGATGGGAAGGACCTCCATATCACGATTGCCATCACTGGCTGGCTTTCAACTGGAAAATACGGTAAGAGAAGCGTGACTTTTTGCAGCCGGGACTGTCCTTGCACCTACACCTGCACTGTGAGAAGTTAGGTGTGTGTGTTGACATTCCATAACATTGCAGCAGCACCCCTAGTAGCGAGATGGTGAAACTGCCTGGTGGTGTTCATTTGTCTTTTAAAAACATCATCTGACTGTCATTTTCATGGTGACGGAACTGGGACTTCCTGGGGGAGGGCAGAACCTGAGTTGTTTTTTATACACAGCGTGATATTCCTTATTATTCATTTATTGCCTATATTCACACCTTTCCTCCGGGAACTTCTCGGTACAGCCTACGTAGTGATCCTCCTATCCAGTTTACCTCTGAGTAGGTCAGGGGGAAATAATGTGACTAATCCAAGGTGACCTACTAAGTTTCATTGCCGAGCAGAGACTTAAACCTAGATTTTCTGTTTCCTCGTTGCACTGTCAGCAACATCACGCTGGAATAAACATGTTTTACATGGGGTGGGTTGTTTTAAAAAAATTCTTTCATCCCTCTCTCTGTGACAAGCATGTCCTCCATGCTCGGTTCTCATTAAACCCGCTGTTCCTGTAAAACCAGGTGTATGCGATTTGTTTCCCTTTTTAATGAGCCCTTCTGTTTGCTTTTCACACCCGTTTATTTTCCAGTCCAGGGCTGATGCTCCCGGGAGCTGCAGGAAGCTCCCTGGGTGAAAGGGTGATGCACGTCACTCTTCCTTCGGCAAGGACCGGGGTGGGTTAGGGGTCCAAATCTCAGACCTGAATCTCCTAAACCGTCGCTGGCATGGCTGTACCCCTCCGGTCCTGGGCTTGGCATCTTGGGAATCCGTTGCATTATCACCTTTTTCTCTTCACAGGGAGTTTCACGGCCCCATGGAGGACCTTGATGCAGTCCAGAGAGCAGTACTGCTTAGCCTGGGAATCCAAGTATCTGATGGAGCTGGGAAATGCCCTCGACACACTGCTGAATGGCTTAGTTAACATGGTGGCCCAAGAAGCTTTGAAATACACGGTCTTGGCGGGTGAGTCACCGACCCGCCGCCTCGGATTTTCCCAAGGGAACCCGACCCTTTCCCATGATTTCCAATGGGCTGGGATTTTTGGTCCGATGTCTTTTCCACCCCGCGCCCCTCTGCTGTTGCTTTCCCGGCAGGAATTGTCACAGCCCTGACTTGGCCAGCTTCCCTGCTGGCCGTTGCCGGCGTGATCGACAATCCTTGGGGCGTGTGTCTCCACCGGTCAGCTGAAGTTGGCAAGCAGCTGGCCCAGATACTCCTTGGCCGGCACCAGGTAGGAGACAGCGTTGGAAGTGGTGCATCTCTTCGGTGTGTGTGTGTGTTTGCGGAGAGAAGTGTGTGTGTGTTTGCGGAGAGAAAGAGGGGGCCCTAGTTTGGTGGGAGAGCTTCTGCTTTCAAGCCAGAAGGCCCCAGATTTACTCCCCCCCTGGGATTGTGGGCTTTAAAAGGTCAATCTTGAAGGCTAGAAGCTTAGGCGCTCTTTTTAAAAAATCAAGAATTGAGAAGGGAGGTCGGATTCTGGGTTTAGTGACCATCTGGGTATCTTTCACGCCAGGGCAAGAGGCCAGTCACCTTGATCGGTTTCAGCCTTGGTGCGCGGGTCATCTATTTCTGCCTCCAGGAAATGGCCAAGGAAAAAGGTAAGGGGGGAGTTTTAAAAGGGGCGTGTGATGTTTTTGTTATTTCTATGAGTTACTGTTCAGAGCGAGAGCACCTGCGGCCCACGCCAGACACACGAGGGGTTCAGATCTACCGTCTCCCCAGGTAGAGCTGTCTTTGAGTTCTCTGGGAGTTTTCATCTGTAAGAAGTAACTTATCCAATTGCTGTTTTTTTTTCCTGAAGGGCATGAATCCAGAGGAAATCATGGTCTACGGGGTGGCAAGGAGAGTTAGGCTAATTTTCAGGACCTTGGACAGAGCCGTCTGGTTTTCCCCAGCCGCTTTGACCGAACGGTGTTTTATTTTTGTGGATTTTTTTAAAAAATGAACTCCCTTTACTTTTCCTTTATTTTTTAAAAAATGGCCTGCCGTCTTTACAGATATTAGGGTGATGTTCAGTGGCAGCCGAAGCAATTAAAAGAAGCACAATAATGACCGTGAGTTTCCATAAAGGAGAAGCAAACCAGAAAGGAGCAGGGGTGAATCTAGAAAGAAGAGCGCACCCCTGCTTTTGCGCCAGAGCCTGGGAAAAGTCACAACAGCTCCTTTTGTGGACAACAGTTCCCATAATCCACTAATTAGTATGAACACTGGCAGCAGGAGAGGGGTTGGGTCATTTTTGGTCCCCCTCTGTTCTCCATCTGGTTCCACCTGAAGTGTTGTCTGTCCTACTTAGGAGGAGGAGATGAGCGGGGATATTTCTCACACAGGAGACCCCAACTGCACTGAAGAATCATATTCAGGAGGGAAATCCTTCCTTCCTTCCTCTCTCCCTCCCTCCCTCTTATTTTCCTCCCTCCCTCCCTCCATGGTAGCTGTTGCTACAGATGTTCCCCCAGTTCCTCTGCACAATGTCTGTGCCTCCATGGTGGTTCACCCCTGCCAAGAAAACCCTCTGTCCATGATCTCTGATATGAATAGTTCTTTTTTAAAACAACAACAACAACACACCCACTTCTTTAGTTTCGCGAAAGAAAGAAATCTGGTCGTCACGATGGCTTAAGGGAGACGGAAAGTGGGGGGGGGGAGAGAGAAAAATCATAGGACTGACTCATTAGCTACCCAACTGTTCTCTCGGCTGTGCTTCTCTGCCTTCTCTTCCTGGCCACAGACGGCTCCATCGGGACAATTTGTACCAATTAATCTAACTAGCAGCCACCCACCCCTCCCCCCAAAAAACCCACAAATTTTGTAGCGACTGCCTTAGAAACCCAGTGTGATGCTCTTGCACGTCACGCCGCCTCCCGCACCCTGTGCTTCCTCTGGTGTCACGTCCTCTGGAAGAGGTCTTTGATTTCTGGAAGGGATTCTCACCGCTGGGGATGATTTGTGTTGTCCACCAGATTTGGTTGCCGGGGGATGGTGGTGGTGGTGGAATTAAATTCAGCAAGGCTGGAAGCCTCCATTGGGAGACTTACATTTATTTATTTTTACCCCCACCTTTCTCCTTAAATGGGCCCAAGGCAGCTTGCAACTGTTAAGCCAATATATAAAAGCTAAAGACGGTGAGTATATTACTATTAGAAAAAGAGAATTAAACAAGTATTGTATTCAAAAAGGTCCATAAAATCAATACTAGAAACACATTTGAAAACAGAGTGCAACAGTCTGTTCAGGTTACCATTCGCCTGCTTGTGGAAGGATAGCCAGGATGGGGCCAGGCTGGCCTCCAGTGGGAGGGAGTTCCACCGTCTGGAGGCAGCCCCGGAGTAGGCCCTCTCCTGGGTCCCAACCAAGTGCACCTGTGAAGGTGGTGGGATCAAGAGAAAGGCCTCCCCTGGATGATCCTAATGTCGGGGCAGACTCATAAGGGAGACACACGGTCCTTGAGATAGCTTGAACCCGGGCCATTTAGGGCTTTGTGGCTTAAAACCAGGCTTTTGAATTGGGCCCAGAAATGGATCAGCAGCCCGTGGAGCTGCTAGAACAGGGGAGATGAATTGACCATTAGTCAGTCTGGGGATTTAAAAATATCCAGCCCGCCTAGCCGGTGAATTTCCCCTTTTTTGGGAATGGCTGACAACGATAAATAATTCTTCAGTGCTCATAAGAGAGAAAAATAAAGGTTAATTGTCGTAACGGGTGGGACGTCAGTCCTAAATGCCTATTGCTAGGAATGGTTCCCTCTGTCCCCGATGGGGGCGGCCAGTGATTTTGCCCCAGGTTCGCATAAACCCAGAGATCTCAGGGTCTGCTATAAAGTTCACCTCTCTCCAAGACACCCCCCCCACTCCCCGATGATGCTCATGGGGTGGGATCTGTCTCCTCAGATTGCAGAGGGATCATAGAAGACGTGGTCCTTTTGGGCGCACCGGTGGAAGGCGATGCCAAACACTGGAAGCCGATCTCCAAGGTGGTGTCCGGCCGGATCATCAATGGCTACTGCAGGTTCGTTGGCTCTCAAAACAGGAGGCTTGTTACGGAACGATAGTGGTGGTGAGTTAAGAGGGGCACCCCGGGGGCCATCTAGTCCAACCTTGTACCAGTGTGGAAACTGCCGCATCCCGTACAGAAGAGAGGAGAGGCCGTCACATCCCAAGAGAAATCCCTTCAGCTGTCAGGCCAGCAATTTTCCTTACAAAGTTCATCTTAAGGTTTTTCTTTGTTTGGATCTGTGGGTTTGGGTCCGAGCCTTTGGAACAACAGGAGACAAGCTTTGTTTCTTGCTTGAATGTATTTATCCGTTTCTTCGGAAAAGAGAAAGCTGCAAAATCTGGCGCCTTTAAGCTTGGGAAGGGGAAATTCTAGCACGTGTGGGGTTCAGGCAGGGCTCCCCAACTTTGGAAGTGTGTGTGGGAGGGGCTGGTCCCCAAGGGTGATGATTAGCAGCAATGACCTTGCAAGATGGACCAGGCCGAGCAGAGGAGTCACACAGCGAGGTGTTTTGCTTTTTTTAGTTTGAGGGGGAATTGGATCGTGCTGTCCCCAAGTTTCTTGTTTGTCCCCTGACTGCTCCACCACACTGCCTCTCGGTTCTAGCTCTTCGTTCTTTTGTTTTTTTCAATGATGCAGAGGAGACTGGCTGCTGGGCTTTGTCTACCGGATGTCCTCGGCTCAGCTCAACGTGGCTGGGCTTCAGCCGGTCGGCTTGGACGACCGCCGGATGGTGGACGTGGATCTTTCGTCTGTCGTATGTATTGCTCCTCCCGTCTTCATCCAACACAGAAGGCCTTGGGGATATATGTTTTTTAAAAACAAACTTAACACCCGACCCTTTTTGGACTACAGTTCCCAGAATCCCCAGCCAGTGACAAGGCCCATCACGGCGAATGCCTGCCCTTCAGAAGTGACCCCCTTCCCCCGTTTTCCACACCCACCCCTTAATACCATACTGTGGTTCCTTGCAGGTGAGCGGCCACCTGGACTACATGAAGCAGATGGACACGATCCTGAAGGCCGTGGGGATCCGAACCCAGGCGTTCCCCCTGGAGGAGAGGGGCGGCCTGGTCGCTTTCAGCGCCGATCCTGAGGAAAGCCAGGAGGTCTTGAAGGAGTTTCCCGAGGCGGGAAGAGAGGAAAGGGCAGAGGGTGGGGGCGAGAGGGAGGGCGACGCGGACCTTGGCAGGGGTGAGGATGATGACTGCTGGTCATGGGAGCCCGTCGCCAGCCGCGGAAGGGACCCACCGGGTGCGGAGTCGGAGAAAACGAAAAGGCTCAGAGGCCGAGGAGGACCGAAAACCAGCTAGCCGAGAAGAGCCGTTCCTTGGGGACTCTTCGTGTTCTCTGGACCACCCCAGAATAGGTGGACCCGGGGCCTCCTCGGCCAGCTCTCCCCCTCGGTTGCCTTGATGATGGTGTGAGCAAACGCAGCAGGGGGTGGCTGTGTTTGCACTGAGTCTTCCGAAAAACTTCCCACCCCCTTAATAATGCCGGGAAGTTGCAGTGCCACTGCTGGGAACTTGAAAAGGTCAAAGGCTCACCGCTTCCAGGATGGGATCAAAGCTCTGCCTTCTCCACCCCCTGTAATCCTCCAGACGGGAGTATAGCATGGACTCCGCTCACCCCAAGTGTTTTCCTGTAATGTGTGGTACACTGCAGCTGAAGGTGGAGGTTCCATCGTCAGCCCTAATCGCATACCGCTTTCGACAGACCTGTCTTTGCCATGAATTCCCCCTTTAGACGGGCGTCACTTTTACAATGTGGAAATCCCTAGGTTTTGGGCTTAGGGCAGTGCACTAAGATTGAAAGACTTTGGGAAGAGAGAGAGAGAGAGAGAGATAGAAAACACCAAAGACTTTAACCAAAAGGGCCAAAGAACCCCACAATTAGCTTTTATTTACAAATGTACATGCTAAAAAGAAATGGAAAAGGGGACCCAGAAACCCAGGAGTGGATCAGGGCAGGACAAAGATTCCAAACACCTCTTCCACACCTAGGAGTCGCTTCTTGCGTCCCTATTACCTCTCTTTGTGAAGAGAGCCAGTAGCAAAATTCAGGACCAAACTGGACCATGGAAACTTGACTATAGGGATTTAAAGGGTAGAGCTGGATAAAATAAGGGTGGTAGATTATTGTGTGTGCACAAACACTCCATTTTTTAAAAAAAAAAATCTGCAAAAATGTGCCAGACATGATTCTCCCCGTTTGTCACTGGATCTCACCAAAACGAGTGCCCGTTCTCCCGACCTCCTTACATTTAGCTTAGCCATTAACCTCTATTTCCATAGAACTAAGAGGCCTCCTGGCATGAAATTCTTCTCTGCCCTCTTGGGGAAGAAAACCAGAGAGAGGAGGAAGGAAGGGGTGCAATCTCCGATTGATTCTGACTTCCCTTTGCCAGGGGTAGGAAAAATGGAGGCACAGGATTCAACCCAGACATGTTTCGTGACTCATTTCAGCAGCTGTGAAAATATAGGGCATTACGAGAACGTGCGAAGTCTGCCCAGTGGGAAATAAAATGACAATTTTGAGCGGCTGTCTGAGATTTAAATGCACCTCTGGTGAGGTGTGAGGGTCAGCTTTACCTGCCCAGGAGGTGGGGATTTATACACACGCACACGGAAACCGTTTCTGCTGGGAAAGGAGAAAGACAGACAGGGCTTCCCATGTATGGACAGAATCAATCTCTTCCCGAATCGCTTCTGTGCTGAACCTGAGGTTTTCCTCTGTGCTAAAGAAAAGAAAAGGGGATATTTGATTTTCTGAAGGAGCAGGCGGTGTGGGAAAACGCCAGCGGTGTTTCTTGGACTGAATTGCAGGGGGGAAGCCTGTGGCCGGCTGTTCCCAGGGCTCATGGAGACCTCTGGAGTGCGAGTGTCCTCGTTGGAAAAAGCAGGTCATTTTAGAGAAAAAGGGGGACCTTGCAGGTGTGTTGGGGTTGATGGGAGGGGAAAACACTAGACATCGGTGAGTGGGAGATAAAGAGGGAGGGGGGCTTGTGGGAGGGGCGTATTGATGTGTTTATAGAAAGAGGCTCATGACTGGCTAAACCAAAGAGCGAAGGCAGAAAGGGGAGTTTTAGCTAGCTCATGAATAGAACTGAAAACGCATTCTTGTTGGAGAGACGTGATTCAGGCAGGCTTTTGTGTCTGACAGATAAAACCTGAGGGAGTCCATGCTGAAGTTCTGAAGACGCCCCCCCCTGCAACAAAGCAAGCACAGGTGTGGAATAATGCAGGAATAATGAGGAAACAATCTGGCTGTGTATTCAGATGCTTTCAGCCGTTCAGGAATTTCCTCTTCTAATGAAGGCTGCAGGTGTGTGCCTTGATTTAATGTTTGAATGTCATGCTCTGAAGAACAGAAGGGAAGATAGCTGCGTTCTTTAGCTTTTATGTGTCTTTGTTTAGGAGAGAAAACAGTGGTGGGAAAAGCTAGCCTACAGATGTGTGGAGATGGCCGGGAGGAGGGGGGAGAGGCTGTATTTCAGGTATTCTCCATAAAATGCTAGAAGACAAGTAGGACCAAAGGAATCAACAAGAGGAAGGATGTTAACTAGGAGGACCATGTGCAGAAGTTAATGGTGGTATGTTTCTTATCAGGATTTTTTAGAACTCCTAGTTAACTTGCTAGGGTTGTTTCTTTGCCTCACAGCTTCCAGAAGAGACCCAGGGAGCATGGGGGATTCTGGAAGTTGTAGTCCGAAAAGGGAGCTCCTTTGAGGGGGGGGGCTGGTGCTCATTTAAAATGTATAGGCACAATTACGCGTGACTGTGGGAATTAGCGTGCGAAACATGGATGCAAGAGACAAGATGAAAAGACCCCCTACAAAGTCCATCATTGCTAATAGGCAGAACTGTGTGGCTACCTGCGGGAATCTCTCTTTCTGAGAGTGAAAGAGCTTTGGGCATGAAAGGGCCGGTGGAGCACTGTATGGTCAGCTCCGAACAGGCTGTCTTAGGGCAAAATGAGAAAAGAGCAATCCCGTATCTAGAAGCAGTGCTCCCTCAAGGGGTGAAAAGAGTCTGGTTGTCAAAGCATGTTAAAAGCAGAAGCGTGAATGTGAACTGGAATGTAAACACCAGCTTCCTTTGCAGGTCTGATGGTAGAGTCACACATTAAAGAGAGAGAGAGAGATTGCATCACACGAGGCAAAATGTAAGGTTAGGAAAGGCGCATTTCCCTGAATGTTGGTTTTTATTCCTCCATGGGAGTGTTCAACTGATTGATGCGCAGTTCTGGGTCCATATGCTCTGGGTCAAAGAGGGTTACAGAGTCCGCCCCCATTGCCGGAAGGGAACCCAAGTGCTGGCTGCTCTGCTCATTGATTTGAATGATGGAATCGGCCGAGTCGGTGTCCCCCTGCAAAGTCAGGACGTTTTTCAGGGACGCCTCCGGCCGTGGGCCGCTGTTGGAGTTCCTCACGGAGAGGGAGATGGGGCTGGGCCGTCGCTCCCAGGTCCGTCGGCAGCAGGGCAGGTACTTCGCCATGGCCCGCTTGAAGTCCCGCATGAAGAGAGGATAAATGATGGGGTTCATGGTGCTGTTGCAGTAGCCCAGCCAGGTCAGGATGTCGAAAAAGTCCGCCGAGATGCAGTTGCACACAGCCNCTGGGGGGGGGGGGGGGGAGGAGAGGAGAAAAGGAGGTGACCATTAAGCCGGAAGGAAAACATTGGAGAAGCCACGATCTGCGCACCCAAAAAAGATCAGGGGCCACAAATGTATCTTTCCCCCTATAATCCTGGGAAGAAGGAAGGCTTTTAATTCTACCCACCTGAGGCCCCCAAAATGGATCATGGTGACTGTGATAGATTGGGGGGGGGGGGGGAGGAGAGGAGAAAAGGAGGTGACCATTAAGCCGGAAGGAAAACATTGGAGAAGCCACGATCTGCGCACCCAAAAAAGATCAGGGGCCACAAATGTATCTTTCCCCCTATAATCCTGGGAAGAAGGAAGGCTTTTAATTCTACCCACCTGAGGCCCCCAAAATGGATCATGGTGACTGTGATAGATTGATTTAGCCTACATGCACACGCGCACACACACGCACACCCTTCTTTATGAGAACTCCAAGCAGCGAAAGGGTTACGTAGGTAAAACTCAGTGGCTGAATCTTGTCGAGTTTTTTCCGTATGCAGGAGGGGTTGTCTTGCAAAGGCTTCCCGCCCTCTGCTCTCTGCTTGTCGTGTGAGCCCGGGGTGTGTGTTGCAGTCAAGAATTCCCCCCCCGAGCCTTTGGACCCCCCCTCCCTGAAAGGTATGTTACCTGTGCCATGTTGCACACAAAGAACGGCAACCAGGCGACAAAAAACATGCCCAGAAGAACTCCCAAGGTCAGGCTGGCCTTCAAGGCTCGTTTGCTGTTCTTGTTGCTTAATTTCCGGTGGTTGTCGCTGGTGGCCGTCGGCCTGCTCTGGGCCCTGGGGACCTGCAGAAGGCAAAGGAAAAAACGAGAGGAAGAGGAAGGAGAGAGAAGCCCTGACTCATTGAGGAAGAGACAGATTTCAGGGTCCAGTGTTCAAGCGTGTTCTACATTTGCCATCATTTCCTACTTATCATCCTTTCTTTCTCTTTGGTTACATAAATGGGTATCGTTTTTCCTCTGCTAAGAGGAGGGTTCTTGATTTGTTTTTGAAGAACATCTTGAGAAAAACCAAAAACAAATCAAGTGGGTTATCTTTTGAACCATTTAGGGCTCTTCTTTAAAAAATGCCAGTTTCCGCACCGACATGATTGTTATTTCTTCCACTATCCCTCTTTTATACACAGTTTTATCCCCTTGACTTTCCGCTCTTTTTCTGGTCCCACCCGAAGGCAGAAGTTATATTTAGAAATGCTTTGTACCAGGGACACAGAATTTGACGCAATGTGGTGTTTCCTACTGAAGTTGGCAATGGTGGTGAGATCCCACATACACACACACACACACACACCCCGTTCAAAACTTTCAATTAGCCCTGAAAAAAAATTGCAGAGAAGTGGATTTTTTAAAGGTTTCTTAGAGATATCTTTTAAAAAGAAGTAGAGTTTTAAAAGATATGTTTGGCTGCAAATCTCAGCCAAGGAGAACAGAACACATTTTCATACGGAGGCTCCCTCTTGGTGTTGAATAGAATGTTCATTGAGAAGGCTTTTTATCCCAGAATAATTAGCATGAAAATTTCAGAAGAGAAAAAAAACAGATGGATGAATGGATTCAGACAAGGAAAAAAAATATCAGCTGGTGAATGAAGGCCCTGTTTCCTCCCCATAGATTAACATCAATCTCCATAAAAACAACTTTAGTGGCATGTGATTTTATAATCATCGGCCCAGCCAATGCTGGAAGTGTGGGCTGTAAAAGGCCGGATTTTATTCCACCTCTGGTGAAGTGGTCCAGAAATTCATATACCTCCTAAGTATATAATTTCCATTCCAGAACGCTGGTTTCTTCCTCTTGGATCCTGCTGCTGTTTTGTGGGTATATGATAATGACCATCTGGCACTAAAGAATATTTTGATAAGAGGCTGGGAACAAGCATTAGCATGTTAATATCCATGTTAAATTACTTCCGCTCTCTTCATTACAGTCACTACCTCCCTCTAAACCAGGGGTTCCCCACCTTGGGTCCCCAGATGTTCTTGGACTACAACTCCCAGAAGCCTTCACCATGAGCTGGACAGGCCAGGATTTCTGGGAGTTGTAGTCCAAGTTTGGGAAGCACTGCTTTAAACCTCGCACCGGATGGATGATAGGGACGATAACCCCATCAGCTCAGGATCGGTGTCCAAACCCCGTCCTCAGAAGGACACCAGGAAGGTTTGTCTAACACGGGAGACAGTCCTTCGGAAGGCCAGGAGAGTTCATAAGGGCAGAAGACTCTCTTCTGCTCCTTCCCTTTGTGACAGCGAATTGGGCAAACTGGTCCCATAAAATCTAATTAATACGCCCTCTGTCATAGCTTCATCTGGACGAGGTGAGATTTTCCCTCCCTGTTGATTGGGGAGCTTTCTTAAGGAGATTTTTATTTCATTTTCTTCTGAAGCGTGGCTATTTCCATGGACACCTCTTCGGCAGCTCTCCCCGTGCAATCTCTCTCTCTCTCCCGCTCTAACTTGGAGCTGTAAATTCAATGGTTATCTCAACATCCTGTCTTAATTAAATAAAACTCCAATTTGGAGCAGGTTAGCCTGCGAAAAAAAAAAGCAGCTTGCAAGGGCTTTGGGCATCTCTCATGGGTTTTTTCTGGTTTCTGTTTTCTAACACTTTTCCAAATTAGAGCCGTCTGTGCGGTTTGTGGGGCGATGGAGGGAGGAGGCTGGTATGTGTTATGGCTCCTGCCATCCCAGTTAATAACAATAATGTTTGTTTCATGAAAAAGGGGGATGCTATGAAAGACCTTTCATGACAAGTGATCACCCTCCTTGGTTGCCTTTTCTGGATGGTGGAGCCATAGAGATGCGAAGTTCACCCTCTGAAGAACAGGTCAGGCGTCTTGTGTTTTGCTTCGTTTTTAAAAAAAAATAAATCAAGTTTCTGGTTCTCATGGTTCCATTGCAAAGTATGAGAGTGGATGTGTAGCAGCTCCTGGAGAGCCAAAGGCAGAAGGACAGGGTTGGGAAATATGATGGAGTTTCATCTGTTATTCCTGTACCGCCACCAACCTCCCCTTCCATACCATCATGTTCCCACGTTCCTTGCTCTCTGTCAGTCCTGCTTGTGTTGTATGGGACAAAGGGTTAGAAATCAGAACCTCTGGTAGATAGAAACGACGGGAGTATATATTATTTGGCCAATATGTTTTGGTTCCTAGAAGGAAGCTCTTCCTGAATTAGGGTGTATGGAAAGATCTAATTTGGCTGTGGATTAATCAAGTGCAATTTAATTGGTAGAGACTGGACCTTTAAAAGGTGATGATGAACTGCATGGTGGCTCAATGGTTTATTTGGCTACAGAGCCAGAGGTTCAGAGTTTAATTCCTTGTTGGTCGTCCTTGACTGGGTCTGGATGACTCGATGATCCATAGGGTCCCTTCCAGCTTTGCAGGTCTAACATGATGATGATGATGATGGCCTTAATACAATGGTGCACTTAACAATTATGTTATCAATCCTGCCCCCTTGCTTAAAAAAAAATCATTTTAGTTGTTATTCCTTAAATTCCATTGATATGGTTATATTTCATTTTGATGTTTTTGTTTCCATCGTTGTGAATGACATGTGGTTCAGCCGTGTAAAGCCGCCCAGAGTAGCCTTGAGAGCCAGGTGGGTGGCATAAAAATGAAATCAATCAATAAAATAAATGCTGAGGAATGAATACCTCCAATATGAATTTTTAAAATCTGCCCCAGTGCTTTCCAACCTCGGGTCTCCAGATAGCTATCAGATTGAAACTCCCAGAAATCTTGGCCAGCACAGCTAGCGGTGAAGGCTTCTGGGAGTTGTAGTCTGACAGCCTCTGGGTGACCCAAAGGTTGGGAATCCTTGCTGATCTACAGGCCAAGAAAAATCTGCCTTTTGAGTTTGCCTTCGCTGCTCTCCATGGTGCTGAAAATGACCCCCTAGAGCTTTTCCTTCAAGGAGAGAGTGTGAATATCTCCATTGCACGCTTGATTCCATGTTCAGTTGCCTAGAGAAATTTGAGGTTTGTTGTTCGGGGAGGGATTCAGACCCTTCGGCCATGATCCACCCTCCAGCTGCATCTCTTGCTGGCTTGTGGAAGAACTGGCTTGGAAGCTGGTTTGAGGCTCCCAGCCTCTTTCTCCAGATCTCTGCCAATCATTTCAAACTCCCCAGAAAGCAGCCGGAGGAGAGCTGCGTGTGTGTTTTTTTGACCCTTGCAAACATCCGGTGACTTTCTCGTTTTAAAAGGGTGTTTATTGTTGTTGTTATTTTAGGGCAATTATGTAGGGCAATTACATTGCTCTGTCAGTGGCGGAAATCACATTTACAATGAGGCTGTTTACCAAAGGAAGCCGAGGGTGCTAGTTAGAGACTTCTTTAGCAAAGAAAATTAAATTATGCCGTGCAATAAAAGCTGTCTCTTTTACCGCCCAAAGGCGAAATCATTCCAACCTTGCCTTCGTCATCCCCTGCCGATCAGTTAGACGGCAGGGTTCCAGCTTCTCCGTTTCCTGCCCTTAAAAAAGCATTTCTAAGCCAAGGACTTGGAAGCAAACCTTTTATGACTTGTTTGGACTGTAGATCCTCCATGATACGAGGAAGAAGAACTTTGAAAGCTGTGTCGTTGCTGTTGTTATCATCGTGGATTGTGGTGCATCACGTTATATTTCACGTAGGGCACACTGGGTATCCTATATTGAATTATTAGCTTGGCTTACGAAACAGAGAGGCCAAATAGAATAGCCAGAGGTTGGCAGTGTGTATTATAAGAAAGGCATTTTTTTCACCTCTCTGATTTATTTTTCTTTTCTCCTGCAAAGAACAAGATCGATGAAGACAATTACGGGTGAATTACATCTGGCATTTCCTGCATCAGATTAAGCTGGAGTTAAATGTGCCAGAAGTAGGTATGGATGCCTCTAAAATCCATGCCCCTTCATAGGTGTAATTTAGAATCATTTGTATATACAGTAAGACTCCCTCCCATCTGTGGTATCAATTGAATCATTTATCTCCTGCCTGAAAATACTAAATAACCCCTCTCCCCCACCGCAGAGATACCTATTTATACGTATTTCCAGGGTGTATTTACCAGAACTGGCTATTAGAGGGAGCCAGACATCATGCGATGGATAGCATTCAATACTTCTCTGTTTTTTGACACCCGGATCCTTGTAGAGACTGCAATCATACTGTAACCCTGAATCATGTTTGGGGTTCAAGGTTGAGATCTGTTCATTGTGCCTAGTTTTTCCGGGGTCTACAGCAGCTTCTTTACTTCCGGATGGGTAGCATTACAACTCCCATTAACCCCTGACCCCTTACAGGTAGCTGGGGTTCATGGGAGTGATCGTTCTGGTGCCTTAAGTGACAGGGAAAGTATTTACTTTTTACAATTGTTGCTATTTAGAGCAGAGACGGTTCCAGAAGCTAGGTTCTGTGGGCCAGCTGTGAAAAGCTTCTCTTATTATTTAAATCTTTCTTTGCTCCCTACGCTCATCGTTTTGCACCTCGCAAAGCACACACACACGTACAGGGATATGGGAAGAACTCCATTTTGCCTTCACGAAAATGAATGCTCGGTGACTAAATGATCTTGGCAAACCCTGTTTCGCTCGCCGGGCGCATTAGTCACACATTTGAAGGTGATGTTAGAAAACCGAGCGGTTGCTTCGGTGGGGCAGAGGGATCCTGTTCCGGAACCCCAACATCAGGAGCGAGGCGGCCTTGGTGTTTTGCACAGAGAGATCCTACCGTCGTGTGTTTGCTGACGGGTGGCTTGGGAGCTGCTAGAACCCCAGTGTGATTTCGAGCCCCTGTGTAGATAAGCACAGGACAAAAGTTCTGCAGGTTCAGGATGCGACCCTGCCGTTTCTTTCTGTCCTCACAGCTCCCGCTGAGCTGGCGACATGCCTTTTGTGAAACTGTGCATCCGTGTGTTGATTCAGCTAAGTTCCTGTCCTCCACAGGGCACTTCAATGCACTTCGGTGCGGAGCAGTGAATGTTAGCGCACTTTTGGAGATGTTGCAGAGCCCCGTTGGCACCGTGAATGTTTGGGGAAGAAAGTTAGTGAGTTCGTCCATCTCTTGGTCACAAGTTTCTTCCTTTCCTGGTTTGAACACCCTGCCTCACCGCTCAACACTTGAGGCTGGCAGAAATTACGTGGTGGGGTTGCCGTTTCCTTGGAGGGGGGAAAAAAATCCAGATTTTCCAAACAGAGCTTGGAACAAAAAACAGACGCCTCGCATGGAGGCAATGCTAGGATTTTGTTCTGAGCTCAGCACTAAGCAGACCTCACAGATGCTTGCAACACACTCCTAAGACTTTTGAAATGTGTTGCCTTCCTTTAAAAAAAAGAAAAAGGGTGCACTTGTCCTGGTGAAGATAAGACACAGATTAGAAATTCGTGGTGTTCTGGGCATCGCCTAGATGTCCCATCATCCCCCAGCCTTGCTGCCTGAGGCTGATGGTCTTTGACAAAACGTAGGCTCATCCTTGTAGAAAGAATCGGAGAAGTATCCCTGCCCACACACACCACACCTCTGCAAGCAGACACACACGAACACACACACACACACACACCATCTTTTGTTAAGCTTAATAGAAGGTAGGTGCCATCCCTGAAATAAAAGAGCGGAGGAATGAGATGGCTCTGTCAGGTCTATTGTTGAGAAACACAGTAATCAGGCCGCTGGAGAAGAGAGGATGGGTTGTCAAGGGGGGGCGGAAAGAGGCTGCTCCAGGCCTGTACCCCCTCACACACGCACGCGCACACGCGTACACAGACTCACACACCCCACGCACCTTGTGCCATGTGTGAGTGGGCAAGGGAGCAGCTGCTCGCCGGAAGAGAAAGCGAGAGAGGGGCACCCGGCCGTGGCTCGGAGGGGCTGCCCCGGACTCTTAAGGGTCTCTAAGGTTGAGGAGGTGCCTCTTTGCTCTGATGACCGATCCCATCTCCTTAAGACTCTCTGTTGGTTTTGATTCTCCCAGATGGGAAAGATCCAGGCTTGTCCTGCAGGTCTTGACTCAACACGCAGAGGGGCGGCGGGTGGCCTCCTTTAAGGGTCGGCTCTCTGAAACCAAGCAGTGGCATGCGATGCCACCACAGAGCAGAGGTGGGAGAGGAGGGCAAGCATAAGTTGGCACTCCCCAGGGCGGAAACTGGGGTGTTCTCCTGTGACACCTGCAAGATGGGCCACAGGCGCTGGCTGCCCTTTGGAAGCCAGCAACAGTCATCACACAGAGTTTCCACGGCCACACTCCTCAGCAATGAAAGAGAGGTCAGTTCTGAGGCTCTGGTCCTCCTCCCAGCCAGAGGAGCCTCAGAAAAGAAAGGCAAACTGCCGGATTGATCAAGTTCAACGGACTGCCACGAGTCCTGCTCTTTCCCATTAAGAGCAGGTCATTTGTAAAGCTAATGGCTCTTGTTGGCCCGTTCAGAACCGAGCCACCACGGAGGAATTTCGACCGAGAGTGGTCACACCACCATACAGTATGTTCTTGTTTGGAAAATCAGTTTCTCTGTCAGCCCATGTGGGGGGATTAAAATGAAGTCCAGAAGGAAAAGAGAAATCTCAGGAAGGATAATACCTTTAACCAAGCTCATGAAAACATCCCAGCGCTCACCGGGTGTGTGGTTCACCTCGGATACAACACTGCTCCTCTGTGGGTGGATGTTTCCATGCGCTCAGAGTCTTTCTTTCTTTAGCAAAACTCCGCTAGTTCCTGGGAGGGGAAGTGGCTTCTGTGCTAGGGAGCCGTGCAGACTTGATCTCAGGAAGATGCCCCACTGTGGTGGTGCTTCAGGGCTGCCTCTGAGCATGCACAAAGGCCATTTCCCCTGACCCATAGATCTCCAGGATTGGGGCCAGGTATATACACCCCACCTTTAGGAAATCCATTTCCCTGTCTGCATGCAACGAAATTCTGACGGTTCTGCTCAGTCTTGTGATCGGGGCCCTCCTGAGACATTTTACTGCCTGAAGTGTGAGCCAGGAGTTCAATGCTCCTCCCTGCTCACTCACGCCATGTAGTGCATAAGATTCAAACCATACCAAGGTATTTTGCTAGAAAGGTCTCCCCCCTCCCCCCCACACCTGTGCCCAAGCAAGGCAGTGAGAAAAGACGGTCATAGAAAAACCAATAGATGAACCTTTTGCTGCTTTTACTTGACCCACAAAACCTGTCAGGCCACCCAGAGGTAGAAACGGGGCCATCCACATGCTTTGGATTTTAGCTCCCCAAATAATGGTGAATCGCAAAGAATTGTGGGAAATGTAGTTCAGAACATCTGGAAGGCCAAAGGTCCCCTATTCCCTGTTGAGGTCCTCTTTATTATTACCTGTTGCATGGATTCCTTGCCCCTGATTATTATTACCTGTTGCATCCATTCACTGCCACTGGATATTATTACCTGTTGCATGGATTCGTCGGCCGCCGCCATCACGTTGTTGGTGAGGGAGGCCACCTGGACCGCTTGCTTCCGGGCGGCCAGCAGGATGCGGCAATAGGTGAACAAGATGGCCACAGCAGGAAGGAAGAAGGTCAGCCCGGAGGCAATGAGGGCATACGGCAGGCTGACCAAGAGCCGGCACTCCTCCTCCTCCTCCTCCTTGTCCGGCCGCAGGGTGGCGTTGAGGGGCCGGAGGTCGAACTCCACCCGGTGCCAGCCCATCTTGATGGGCCAGAAGGAGACCAGGGCCGCCAAAGTCCAGGTGGCCAGGATGAGAAGGACCGCCCGGCCGGAAGTCATCCTCAGCTTGTACTTGAGGGGTGAGATGATGAGGAGGTAGCGGTCCAAGCTGATGACGCACAAGTTCAGGATGGAGGCGCTGGTGCACATGACGTCGAAGGAGAACCAGATGGAGCAGAAGGCCGGATCCAGGACCCAGCGGCCGCAGAGCTGGTTCAGCATGGCCGGGGGCATCACCACTGAGCCCACCATCAGGTCAGACATGAAGAGGGAGACCAGGAAGTAGTTGGAGGTGTTGCGCAAGGACCGCTGGGTGAAGATCAAGAGGATGAGGGAGAAGTTCCCCACCATGGTCAAGAGGATGATGAAGCAGAGGAAGGTGGCCGTCCAAGGGCTGCCGTGAAGCCACCCGGGCCGCTCCCCGGCCGAGCGGGTGGCATTGGCGCTCCCGAACCCTCCTTCCATCGAGGAGACCAGAGGCCCCAGAGGACGAGGAGGCGAGAGAGGAGCCCGGCTGGCACCAAGAGAGATCCGGACGCCGGCACTTGGAGGATCATTGCCGTGAACTCGGCAGCCGAGGGCAGAAGGGCGAAATGACTCCGTGGCCTCTTTTCCCCTCTTGTCTGCCTCTCCTCCTCCTCCTCTCCTCCCGATTTCTCCCACTCTTTAAAAGAAACCGAGCCGGCACCAGGCTCTCGCCACCCGCCAGGAGATCCCCATCAGTGACAGGCATCTTCTTCCGCCGAACCCCAAAGCCTTCTGAGAGCAAAATCCAGCCGCATGGAAGGCGAACAGGGGGGGGGGAAGCAGATGGTAGCAACCTTCGCCGCCTCCCACTCTCCAGATCGCTTTCCCTCCACCCTCCGAACCTGTGGATCGCCCAGGTTTCTCACTCACAGGGCTGAGGAGAGAAGAAATGAAAAACACAGCCTGGCATGCCGGCTCTTAGCTTCCCCGTGTGCGGCTAAATGCCGCTTGCATTCTCTCTGGCATCTCTTGAGAAAGCCCGCTGTGTTGATTCCAAGGATGTGGGTCCCCCTCCCCACACGATTCACAGCATTTTTTGTGGGGGAGAGAAAACATCATGTCTAATGCTGTCGGAAGCAATATGCCAACTCCGGGGACAGAGGTTCATCCTACGTACTATCGGTCTCCCAAATGCACACAAAGCTATTTTTAAATTTTACCGTCTTCCTTTTCTCCCTCCCACCCCCACCTCGCCTAGACTGCTTGTTTGTCCCTGAAAACGATGCCTGGATCGTACAGGTCCAGTTATCCAAACATTACCACCTAAGCATTAGAACCTCACTGTTTAACAACAGAAGGTGGCTCTAAAAAACCCCGTAAACAGAAATGTCCAAAGCGCAGCCGGTACCCGGATGTCGACACCAGCCAGACTAGACCCATAGACTCAAGAGCTGCTCAGTCCATACTTAGGTAAACCCTGTCGACTCTAGTTTGAGAGACAGTCTGGTAGAGCCATTTCAGTGCCGGACTAGGGCTTTGGAGACCTGAGTTCGAATCTCCGCTTGCCCACGGAAACCCGATGGAGACTGGCCATGGTAAACCCTATTATAGTTGCTCTAGGAAAACAAGGGAGTTAAAATTCATGTGGAATCATAGGTCACTATATTTCAGAAGGCCTGGTGCCAAAAGAGAGGTTTTCCTACAGCGCAAGGAAAGACGCAGAGTTGGTGCCGTGGATTCTGAATTCAAAGCGCTACGACAGAGAAGGACCTGTCTTTCATACAAGGGGGGCCTCTCCTTTGGCGATCTCAGAGATGAAGACATCTCGGGAACAAGGAGAACGCAGCTCCAGGAAAGCATTTTTGGGTTGTGAACTGCCGTGGCATGTTGTCATTGCCATAACTATGAAAGCAGAGGCTATTAGCACTGAATCTGGGGTTGGAAAAATCGGGGAGCCTTAGCCCAGACTGGCAGGGTGGGTCGACCATGCTGCTGCTGGTGGGGATTCTGAGATATGTAGACCAAAACACAGATTTCTCCATAAATAAAATTGTAAGTGGATCCCCAGAACACTCCATACCAGGATGGTTGGCATGTGGCCGTCCAGATGTTGAACCCGTTGGGAGTTTATACAACCTTGCATGCATGCCTTTGTTTTGAGTGGTTGGGAGAGATTTTCCTGGGCTGGGCTGGTTGCCAATCTATCCAGAAGTAACCAATCATTCCCTCCCGCCTCTGAATCCAAAGAGAGTCCCACCTCTCTGTTAAGAGAGTTCTCTTTCCCTCTCTTTAGTCTGTTGGAAGCAGCCAATTCGTTTGTTAGCTTGCTGTTGATCGGTTCGCAACTGTAAGTAATGAAACATTTTTTAAAAAATTCTTTCTCCAGATCTTTCAGCGTGAGTTTATTGAGGATATCTGTGATGGTTAATGAGAAAAAGGGGTGGACTATCTGGTAATTCGAAGCTACTCTACTTCATAGGTCTCTGTGCTTCTGCTGTGTATCAAAAGGAGAATTCAGAATTCAAAACTGTGTAACAGAATTACAACTCTATCAAGCAAGTGTAGGCAATGGGGAGGAATATAGAGTTTTGCTTTTTTAAAAAAAAACAACCAAAAATTGCAGTTCCCATCATTCCCCAACCCCGCATGTCCACTGGGATTCTGGGAGTTGTAGTCCTGCTGACTACTACTGGGTTTCTGGGGGCAAAGGGTTCGAAACTCCTGCATGAAGTGGTTGGAAGACACAGCCACAAATCTCCTCGCTTGTTGGTTCAGAGCACCACCTGGTGGCGCAGGAGGAAAAAAAATACAGAATTTCTTCTCGCTCTGCCGTTTCCCCTCTTAGCCTCTGGGCCCAAAAAAACGAAGACGGAAACTGGAAGGTGGCTTTCTACAACCAGGTAGCCTGACGATTCATGGGACTAAGATGCCCATCATCCCCAGATAATCTGGCATAACCCTTCCCCAAAATGAAAAAACAAAAAAGAAGTGCATATTATAGGAAGGTTTGAGTAAGCCTATTGACAGCAGTCCAGAAATCTCTTTTAGGAGGCTGATGGCTATACCTTTTTTTGTTCAGGTGAGTTTTAATCCATGAAAGATCAGTCTGAGCATTAAGATTTGAAGCTTCTGTTTTTATTTTGGTTATACTTCCTGAAACAGACCGACAGCTTCCATTGGAAGCTGCAAAGTTTGAACATCTCACCTTCCTGCACTGGGTCAGAGGGGCTGGATGTTTGTGGTTTTCCCTTTTTTGGAAAATACATAAGCTTTCTTTAAAAACAACAACAACAACAACAACACAAAATCTATCCTGAGATGCTGGAAAAATAGACCGATTCACTGACACGGAGTCAACAACAACAACAACAACAACACAAGATCTATCCTGAGATGCTGGAGAAATAGACTGATTCACTGACACGGAGCGTGGTGCTTAGTTCTAATTTATTTATTTGGGAGTTGTGGGGAAATAACACCGATAACAAAGACGAAGGTATATCGGTAGCTGTGCCCAGGTGTGCATGTTACAAGCCTCAGAAGGGTGGTGTCATGAGGAATGGGGGGGGGATGCAAGTGAGTTCTATAGGCTTGCATTGGTTTTTAACAGCTATTTCTCTCGTCTCCAGCATGTCCACCGTGAGCCGTCCTCTGGCAGAACTGGAGGGTCCCAAGATGGTTGATCCGGGTTCACTCTGCAGAACTAAACTTGCTTTTGTCACATTTATCAAGATGGTTCGAAAGTCGGTCGCTCTGGAGCACAGGTTCGAGAGAAATCTCTCCACAACCGGAAGAATGCTTCCTTGGACTATTATTATTTCCTTTTGTTCATCCCTAAGACGCATCCCTGTACCACAAGCCTTCGGGGAGCACGCTCCAGAGGACGGGGTAGACCTCCGATCGGGACAAACCCAGATCTTCTCCACCTGAGTGATGGTAAGGTGTCAAATTTTGGGGGAGCAGGGGGAGGTTTCTCATTTCAGCCTGCTTCTCTTGTCCTTCAACCCAGAATCTTTCTTCCAGAGGGAATACAGATAAGCCACCCTGAATTGAATAATGTGTTTACGTGCCAGTTTGACCTCAAAATAAAAAGATCCCCCCCTTTCTGCATTCCAAGGGTTCCCACACATTTCTCCCTTCGAGTGTCACTTTTCCCTTAATATGTTATTGCCATGTGTGAGGCCATCAATTCAACAATCGCTCTTCCCTCCCAGCCTAACCCTGTTTGACTTTGCCACCCCATCATTCTCATGTCCCCTTTGGCTTCCTTCAAAAAAAGGGTCCAGCTTTCATCAGGACAGTTATGACTTTTGGGAGTGTCTCTTAAGAGCCAAGCAAGATGATGGATGTCTGAGAGAGAGAGAGAGAGACAGAGAGAAAGACAGAGGGAGGAAAAACACAGGTAGGGCAGCCTCAGCTGGCTGGGAAGTCCTAAAGGGGATCAGATCCTCAGTCTGCGTTGTCTTCCTTTTGGCGCCGGTGTGGGTTGGAGGCTTCTTCGGCTTGGTGGTGTTGGTGGTGCTGGTGGTGGTGGCTGCCGTAGGGGTGAGGGTTGGGCCCCTCCCCAGGCAGGTTTTCCTCGGCATTTGGGTAGATATTGAAGAGCGCCCCCTCTTGGCTCTGCTCCTTGCCGCAGGCCTGGCAGCTGCAGTGGAGGATCTTCTCCACCAACTTATCCACCCGAGGGATGTCCTCATTGCTGGGGCAGTCCAGCGTCACCTGAGGGAGGAGGGCCGAGGGCAGGAAGAGAGGCGGTCAGAGGCTACAGCAAGCAAGCCAAAATCAGATTTTTTCTCCCCCCAAAAATGCTCCGGGAGGGATAGAGATGTGCGGGGGAGGAAAAAAGCAGAGACCTGATTTTATCTCCATTTTCCTGCTGAAACTGGGGTGGGCAACTGCAAGCCCTCAGGCCAAAGCCCTCCCTCTCAGGACCCCAATCCAACCCTCTGTGCTTCTTCTGTTATAGAAGTCAGAAACGTCTCCCTTTAGGTTCAGTGACTGCCCTTAAGAGCCTTGAGCAAAACGAGGCTGATATTTTTGGCCCACCCCACCCCCCCGGGACGTGGCTCCTGTCAAAGTCGGTGGATGGGTGGGTTTGCTTGCTTGTTGCCTGTTCGCAATGGCAAGTAATGGATGCTTTTATTCTTCCACTACCGTAATGTCTCGGACGGCGCTGTTGAGATTGTAAGTGCCCGTGAGTGAGAAAGGAGTGGATTCTCTGAGGAACTTGAAGCTATTCTCCCCACCCCACCCCCCCGGGACGTGGCTCCTGTCAAAGTCGGTGGATGGGTGGGTTTGCTTGCTTGTTGCCTGTTCGCAATGGCAAGTAATGGATGCTTTTATTCTTCCACTACCGTAATGTCTCGGAGGGCGCTGTTGAGATTGTAAGTGCCCGTGAGCGAGAAAGGAGTGGACTCTCTGAGGAACTTGAAGCTATTCTCCGTGAGTCTCTCTACTTCTAATAGGGATCAAAAGGGAAATTTTAACCAGAAATTCAGAACTCTGCAACATTCGCTCCTGAGAGCTTTTCTGAAATCGAGACTGGCTTTCAGCTTCTGAAGGGGTCTCCTCCTCCCCACCCCTCCCACCGCGTTTGCCTGTACCAAAACCGCTCGGAAACCTCCTGTCACTTACAATTTCCCACTGAGACTGGGCGGGCATGCAGGAGTCACAATGGATCAGGGACTCCGTGGACTGCGGGAAGGTGTTGGGGACGCTGTAGCTGAAACATTGCCCTAAGCACGCCCTGCGGAAGGAAGAGGGAGAGATTCGGCATGAAGGACTCAGCAAGAGCCGGGCTTGTGTGCGTGCGTGTGTGTGTGTGTGTGTGTATGCGTGCGCATTTAACAGGGTTTAGCAAGGGAAGAAAGGCTGAAGTCCCCACCGGCAGAAGAATCAGCCGATGATCCCGCTGATTAATTTCAAAATGGCGATGGGTAAAATGGCAGGAACCTTACGCAGTTGGCCTTCTGCTGAATCAGAACCTGGGACCGTATACGTCAGTGTTCCCAGCTCTGACTGGCAGCTGCGGCCATCTGAGGTTTCAGCCGGGATTCATTCTGAGGCCTAGATAGAGATTAGGGCTGGCAGCTGCCGGCCTGATTCGAATCCGCCCCCCTTGGTGAGCTTTAGTGACTCAGCCTGCCAAGCCCCCCCCCCCCCCGTCAGCCCCCTTAGCCCCTGCTCTCTGCGGCTGCTCAGAAGCCACGGGGTTTGTTTATCTCTCTCCCCCCACCCCCGGCCCATACCTGTTTTGGATGGATTTCGACTCGCAGCCATTGTGGCCGACGATCTGAGTGATGTTTTTGGCCTCGCACCATGCGCTCTTGTCTGGGAACAGGGCCAGCTTGTTGATGGGAGGCGGCGCGGCCAGGATCAGGGCCGGGAGGACGGCGCCCACCAGGAGCCTCAGCAGCATCACGGCCTGCTCAGAGGAAGCTCTAAAACTGGAGATCCCCGGAAGGGTTTAAAAATAAGTCAGAAGGTCCGCACGGAATTTTTTTTCCCCTCCTGAATCTATTTCTTCTGGAGAGGAGTTTTGCACGTTCCAAAAGGGTGGGACTACAACTCCCATCACTCCCCACTCAGCACAGGATTGCGGGGGCTGTAGTCAGAAACCTCTTCAGGTCCAAAGGTTCCCCACCTTCAGAATTAAACCTCCTCCCCCACCCCAATCTGGCAACTCTCCGGGTCTTTGCACTCCAACTCCCATCACCCTCGGCCACTGGCCAGTCTACTGGGGGTGATGGGAGCTGGAGTCCAACAAGAACCAGAGGTCACGGAAACCTGGGAAGTTTCCGGGTCCAAATCCGGTCAGCGTTCGTCCTAAATAGGATAAGCTCATTGAAGGAAATGGCACGGGTTAGTCAGCGCTAGTAGAATTCGAATTCATTACTCTTGGGCTGGATTTAGTGCCCCCTTTTTCAATTCATAGTAATGACTAGTGTTTGTCGAGCAATTATTATCATTGACTGGCTGAGACTTTAATATTTTAGCAGTATTTTTGTCATGCTTTTTTTGGCATGGGATTTATAGTTTAATTTTATGCCTCTTGATCAAGAAATAACTTTGCATTCAACTAGATACAGTATATCCACAAATGTATCTATATCCAAATGCACTAACTATTTTCATATATTTATAAACAAATACATGTATCAGTGGATTTAACCCCCCCTTTTTTAGAAACACCCAAGGGCGTGCCTAAAAAATCAGTATAATAATGCAAAGGAACATTTTCAAATTGCCTTGAAATACAGAAACAAGCGAAGGAAGGATCAGATCAGCAGAATGCCCTTTAAGCAGAAGAAGATTCTAGAGTTTCTTATTTTTAATTTCTGCTTCAGCAGAGCTGAATGGTCTGGGGGAAAAAAAGGTTGAGAAATGCCCGGCTTGGCCAGCAAGGGGAGCTATTGGACAAGAGGATTTGAGAGCTTGGTTCCCCCCCACTCCAGAGTTTCGTTGGACAACAAGTCCCATCGGCCCCAGCTGTCGTGGCCCCCAATTTTTCCTTACTCCCAGTGCAGAATCACCGAACCCACTCTTGAAACAACCCCCAGGGATATAATCAGGGGGCCCGCATGAGGCTCAATAACCATCACAAAGACCCTCCAGTCTTTTTTTTTTTTTGACCCGGATCCTGCGCCAACCCGCTCAGGCCTTCCAGCGACCACATCTGGAAGATGCAGAAACAGCTGTTTCTCCTTCCAGGCAACAGCTGTTCCCGTTTGCCTGGAAACCTGTCTCTTCTCCGACATGTTCCCCACTAGCTAGAACATGGGTCTTAAAACGCTCTCGCTCTGTCTCATCGGCTGCCGTATCCTAAACATTGGACTCCAGCTCCCATCATCCCCAATAGACTGGCCAGTGGCCAAGGGTGATGAGACTTGGAGTACAAAGGCCTTGCCGGTGAGCAGATTATTTTCAAATTGTTCTGGTCGGCGCAGAGGGACTAGAACCCCAAAATAATATGGCCTTGTTTCTTTTCTTCCCCAGAGAGTTTGGGGGGCACAGGAGGGCCGAGGTGAGGAACCCGCTTCCCTCTGACGACAAGATCAAACTCGGTACCCGGCCGGCAAGTTTCGACAACGGGCGGCGCTTAGATCCGGAGGCCAAGAGGTACAAACCCGGCGAGCGGGCTCAGTCACCCCCCATGCAAATCTGTTCCCGGGCGTCTTGCCGAACGAGCTCAGACCCGCACGGAGGGATGGAGTGAGGCCGCCAGCTTGCCGTGGAGGTTGGAGGGTGGGGGAAGAGATTGCGGTGAGAACCCCGAGTCCTAACACCCACACTTTGGGTGTGCCGACGGGTGCCCGTTGCAACATGGCAGCAGCGTCGGCTGGCAGCGAACGACAGGGCCCCGTCCAAGGTGTTCCTAGAAACCTACAGAGCCCTAAAAGGGGGGGGGGCAGGGACGGCGTTCTTATGGGACCCTCTGTCTTGTCCCATTGAGACTCGGGATCGGCCGGAAAAACTCTGATTTGGGAGCCTGAGAGTCTATCCTGCCCACAGTTTGCACGCCAAACGGGGCTTTCTCGGCGGTGGCCTCCCGGTTTCCGAACATTTTCCGGGACTCTGTTACCTTGTTTTTCTTTAATTATTTAGGAGGTGCTTTTACACGCCAATCATTTCAAAAGCAGCCCATCTAAAGTTTTAGAATTAAGACCTGAGATAACCCACATGCTGTGATTTTAGTTTTTAGTTACTGGCAATTGATGGTTTGTTTGCTTTTTTGTGATGGTTTTATCTGTTTTATCCACAAAAGCTCACATTCAAAAATTATAAAATTTAGTCTTTAAGGTGCCACCACGCTTTAGGATTTTTAAAAACCCTATTTTTACTCGGATTTCTCCTATAAGGCTTGCGCAGACTAACACGGCGACCCCCTTCTCCATTTATCTGATTTGTTAGTCCTCCGGGACCCTGGTGAAGAAGGGCAGGACCAGAACCCAATAAACAGCAAATAATAATCATAGTTATGATTCATTCATTCATTTGATATTCTGTATCTCTTCCATGCACTTTTTGTTTCTCAGCCAGGGAGGGGGGGCAGCCCCAAAGCTAAACGTTAGGAGTCAAGCCCTAAAAATATGGGTGATTTGACGTCCTTGTTATTCTCATCATCATTTTTGTGGCTGTTCTTATTAAGACCCATGTTTTAGGCAACCATATAAACCAGCTGGACAAAACCACTGAAACTTCGGGCAAACCAGCTACAGAATTATAGCATCCTTTTCGCCTGAACTGACTATTGCTTTTTTTCAACAACAACTCCCAGAATCCTTAGCCACTTGGGGGATAATGTGAGTTGTAATCCAGAACCCTAAACAAAACTTTTGGCACTCTGGGATCAACAGGAATCACAGATGAACAGAACATGGACCTGGAGGCCTGGGCTAATGACCATAAATCAGCAGTCATTTCCATACAGAGAATCAAAAAGTTACTTTGGGGGGAACTTCAACTCCCAGCATGCCCCTGCCAGTATGATTATGCAACAATTCTTGTTTTTTTCCCCCCACTGAATTACCTTGCTAAGCTCAAAGAAGCCCTGGGGGGCAAAAACAACAACAACACCAAAACCCCAGGAATGCATTGGTATGCCAGCCTCAGTGCTTTGACCCCAAACCAAATTCCTAAGCTGAGCAGGTGCTCCGTGGAACCTTGTTTTGGGTCCTTTCTGGAGCCAAGATTTGCACCTGGGCCTCAGCTGGAAGATTCCAGTGAGGAAAAACAACCACCACGTGAAACCTTGCACGCTGGGAGAAAAGAAAAAAAAAGAGAACTCGCTTCCTACCACCATCAGCCCATTGAGATGAAACTGCAAAAGGATCCACACTCTTTTAACTTGGGAGATCTGGGTTCGAGTTCCGACAGAGCTGTGACTGGGAGAAGCTTTGTCCTGTCACTCCCTTTCCCCTCTCGGCCCATCCTTCCTCACAGGGCTGTTGTGAAGATTAAAGTAGAGGGGGAGGGAGAACTGTTCGCAGCGACTTAAGCTTTCTGGAAGAACACCAGGTCGGGAAGGATGAAATAAAGGACCAAGAGAGAGGAGGTCCAGCTAAGCTCCTTCACCAAGGGATGGTTTTTCCAATCAACACAAACTTCCTATGGCTTGGGGAGAGCCAATGAACACACAAATAAATTCCTGTGTGTCTTTGCAGGGGGCCCCCCTCTCTTTTTTTTGCACCTTTTCAGTTAAATTTGGGATTTGTCCACAGAGTCGTCCGGCGCTAACCATCCTTGATTTCAATTCACGCCATGGGGGGGGGAAATAAGGTTGAACCTCGGGGTAAATTTGAACAATGAACATTCATTCCCTCCAGAATCTTTTTTTTAAAAAACAGCAAGACTGAATCCAGAGAAGCGCTGGGGGGGGGGGGCTTTTAAAGAACACAGAGATGAATGGCTTCTCCGAGAAAGGTAGCTAGCTGGACGTACAAAGTTCTCGAGCAGGTGGCCGTCATTCTTTGAAAAAAAAAGAATAGATGGATAAAACTTGGCAGCTGCAAAGCAAGCGTGGACAGTCAAGCGAGAGATCTTTTGTGGGGGGAAAAAGGGAATTCCAAAACCTGAACGCTTAGGAGGGGGGCCCCCCTTTCTACGCTTCATCCGCCAGAGGCCAAAGGAGAGAAGCCGGCTGGGACAATGGCTTGCATTCTTAAGGTCCAAACTCAATGCAACAGAGAGAAAAGGAGAGAGAATCAATGGATTGATCCACATTTCAGATCCGATTGAATTCACCGGGCAATTGCAGCAGAAAATAATCCGGTGTGCATGGCTGGCCATCAAGCCTTCAGCGCGCCTCGCCCGGCTCTCGTTTGCGAGGGTTTTGCAGACTGGGCCACCCTCTTGAGAGCTGCAAAAAGCCCCCATTTAGGATCAAGACATTTAAAAATAAAAGCCAGAGGCTTCTTCTTCAAAGACCCTCGGAGGGACTGTTATTCTTGGACCGAGAGGATCAGAACCCAGACCACTCTGAGTTGGGAGCCCTTTTTTTGGAAGGTCCTTCAGCCTCCAGGGCTGGACCACGTTGGCTGAGCTGCAGCCCCCATCGCTCTTAACTAACTGGCTGGGGATGATAGGGTTTGTGGTCATGTACACACACACACACACACCCCGCGGAGACTCCAGGTCCGTCGGGCCCACCCCAGAGGAATAGAGGGCTTCCTGATTGTTAAAAGGTGAAATTAAATTGGGGGGGGAGAGAGAACAGACTCATGATGGAGGTTCATGACACCGTGATGGAGATCCATGAAATCCTAAGAGACGTTGCACTCTCTCTGCTGTTATAGGGTTCCACTGCCCATGATGCAGCAGCTAACCTCGGAATACCAAAATGCTGGGAAATTGGCCCTAAAAGCTTGCCACCTCCGTAGGGGTGTGGCTGTCCTCCGTTGGAAGCCATGTGTGGGGGGTAAAGGCACATCTGATCCCATCCGGCAGGGTTCCTGCTTCTAGGCCCGTCTTCCCCAAATTTATACCTGCCTCCCTCAAGATGTTGAGACGAGCGACACTGGCTTAAGGACGATGGGAGTTGCAATCCAGCCTCATTCCAAGGGTTCCTCGAGGCTCTTCCACCCCCTTATTGGGTGGAGGGGAGGGTCTAAGACACAAGTGAAATGTCTTCCTTGTTTTCCTGGACAGGCCGCCATCACTCTAGAACCCATCATTCCGCAAAGCCTGTCTTCCTCTCCCGGAAATCATTCCCAGAGTTTCGGAATTGTTCCTAATGTCGGAATAACTTTCAAAAACCTCCCTGCTTCATGAACACCCATTTCGGCCCTAGAAATTTTTCTGCAGAACTTCACCTCTTAAACTGTACCGGAGCAGCCCTCCTCCCTTAAGCCCGAGGCTACCAGGTGTGTTTAAAAGACAGGGAATATATATATATACTGCCGCTCAGCCAGGAATTCACCTTAGTGCAATTCCTTATAAATCCATTCTATGTAAACAAAGCAGCAGGTTCCAGCAAGAGCTTGGAGGGGGGGGGAGTAACTTTTGGTTAGTTGGGTAGGATTACGAACCCCAGAATCCCCTGCCTAGTGTGGCATATGCCGTTCCAGAAAAAAACAAACCCTAAAAGACCCACATTTTTACACAGTTTTTATTCTTTATGGGCAGGTGTGCAGATGGTCATGTAAATACAACTGGGTGAAAGAGAGAGGGGGAGAAAGGAATAAATTTCAGGGTCACCTTCCCCCCCCCCGACTTGAAAAACAGATTATACTGTCTTGTGGCCTTTCAGTAAAGGTTTGCCAAACTTGCCAAACTCCAGTGTAAAAAAAAGTTCTGACTTTTGGGAAGTAACTGCAGGCCAAGAAGTTAGGTGATTTTGAAAAAATCACCCCAAAATGGCATGGAAATGGTCTTGAGTTTCGCTGTGTTTTTGTTTTTGTTGCTGTTTTGTTTTTTTGCTGTGCCTTATTGGTTTATTTGTTCGTTTATTTCATGTTACAACCAGGAAGTTCAAGGGAATTGGAGCTTGGCTCACTAGGGAGATTTGTCTGTCCAGGATTACGTTTTAAAAAATGAAAAATTGCTTTTAAAAAATGAAAAATTGCTTTTAATGTCCTGAGGGGGGGGGGACCACAACGTGGATTCCTGGGTCCTTTGCCATGCTTTAGGATAAATGCATACAGAGGATGCTTGCAAGAGGTCTGTGCATCAATATGGATCTGTTTCGCAGGAACAAGGAGGTGGAAACGGGTTCAAAGACCACGCCACCCAAAGAGGCTTCTAAATAAGCCGATTGACATATGCAACCGCTTTAATGTTTCTTTGTTCCGGCCTTTAATAGGGAAGTGAAGAAATCAGAAAATTTGCTTTCACTTCTCTTTGTTGGGGGGGGGGGAATCAGCCGCTCTCTCTCCGTTCGCCCCAGCTTTATGCCCCAAATTAATTAATTTCAGATCTCTGGGCCGCTGGGTTGCTCTCTTCTCTCCCCCCCCCTTTTTTTTAACTGGCAAGGAAAAAGGAGAAGAAAACAGGAGGGGAGGGATCAGAGGTTCTGGGCTTGAAAGACAGATTTCCAAAATAGAATTCTTCACGGATTCTTTGCTTTTGCTGTCAGACCAGTGGGGAGGCGGTGTGGAAATGTTTTAATTCCTACACAGTGATTCTGCATGTGTGCATGCGTGTGTGTGTGTGTGTGTTCCCCCACCCCTTTAGTCCTGTTTCATCTGTAACTAATTTCTATTTGCTCCGATCTCTCCTCTTTCAAACCATCCATCATAGTGGGAAGAGGGCAGGGTGGGGGCTAAACGGAGGGAAAAGGGTGTAAGGAGGGGCTGGAAGCCTAAAAATCTGAACCTGATAAATGGGGAAGGAAAGGGAGGGAGGTTTTGGTCCTGTCCCCCCGCCACTTTGCCCCAGGCATTTGAGGGTGGTAGAAACAGAAAAATAATTAGCGCCTTCCTGGCAATGCTATCACCTTTACTGTTGAGTGCATATGAATTCAGTCTTATCTATAATTGTTTCGAAGCCGCTAACCATCCAGATCACCCACCTCCTCCTTCAAAAGTGTGGCACCCTGTTAATATGAAATAGGGATTTTTAAAAAACTCCTTCTTTTCCTCTTAACAGATGCATCTTCCCCATTTGGTCGCCTGGGAGAGACACTCCTTCACCCTAGGCGAGTCAGCCATGGGCTCTGGAGGAGCCCAATTGAACACTTCTGTGAATCTCCAAAGATGACCCCTTTTGAGCTGCAGACCCTGTTATCCACCAGCCACCACAGAAGGAAGCATGCCGATGCCCCTGGAAATGACAAGGTCTTCCACGGGTTTGAGCCTGTGGTCTTAAATGCAAAAGCAGACCTTCCTTGAAAACAAGTGAACAACACAACAGACAGAACAGAGCGCCTGTTGAAAACACCCAATGGGCTGCGTGCAGGCTTCCCGAGATCTGGAGATTTAACCTAAGTAACCCTTTTTTCCTGCCTTCCGAAACAGCACAGCTTTCTAAAAGGCGTCCGCTTGAATTTCATTGATGTAGTGCTTTTCTTTAAAAATATATATATATAGCCCTGTGGGGTTTTTGTGCATGACATTTATCGTCAAAGCAATGCTAAATCCACTTTTGCAAGCTTTTGGGTGACACAGAATGCTTTTGTTGAGCCCCCCCCCCCCAATCTCAGCTATTCCCCAGGGAGAGCCCACAGGCTTGTCGAATTAAATAAGAGAAAGTTACTTACCATTAAATAAACTGGAGACTTATCCCATTAAAAAAACAAAACAGCAACGCTTCTTCAATTAATATTCTTTTTTTTTTCCTCAAGGGGAAAAAACAAAAACAAACCCAACCTCCAAAAGCACTACAAGTTTAGATAGTTTTTCCAGTGGAGTTTTTGCTCTGAACCAAAGTTGTCTCTTAGGTCATCCAGAATCAGACGGATATCCTTTGACGAAGAACTTCTGCCTGAGGTTTTGTACTGGATTCGGTCCTTCTCTAGAGCATCCCAAAAATCCGGTGAAAACAGACGAGGTCTTCGTGGGGGAAAAAATAGCCCAATTTCTGTGTCACTTGGGGACCTTCTCTCCTTATCGGCTAGAGATGCAGAAAAGGAACAATAATTTATTTCTAACCCAAACGGCAGGAATCCAGAAAAGAGTTGAAGATTTCAGTCCATCGGCTTCTTCTCTTCCGTGAGCAGCAGGATCCGTGAAATCCAGCAAAAAAAATCCAAACCCCGAAACCAGCATGAAAGCGGATGGAAAGGTCCAGCACCCCAGAACCGGATTTTAAAACAGCCTGGCAGGTAGGTTTCAGAGGGAAGAGGTGTAAAAACAAGAGAGAGAGGCGTTCTTAAAGAAAAAATTGTTTTTTGAGGGGTGGGGGGGAGGAAAAGGTAGCAGGTTTGGGATGGGGGGAAAGAAATCAGATAAAATCAGAGCACGGTTTGGAAGCAAGGCCCCCCTCGGAATGGAATTAAAAACCCCATCTTTCCAGAAGAAGGCCAAAAAAAAAAGTTTTCTGAACTTTTGGAGAGCTGAAAAGGGAGAGAGCGTGTTCGCTCCCTGGAAACCTCACATCTCTTCTGGCTAAACTCAAGAAAGGAAAAAAGACAGGAGCCTCGCGCCTTGTAAATCAACTCCTGCCTCCTGCCTCCTCCTTTTCTCTCTCTCTCTCTCTCTTTCTCTCTCTCTGGGTATTCAACCCACTAACTCCAGCTTCTGGCTGCTCTGAGTTAAGAAGAAAGGAAAAGGCTCGGAGGAAAGGGGGGAAGGAGGTTTAAACACACACACACTCAACAAAAACCCTATTTCTCTCTCTCTCTCTCTCTCTCTCTCTCTCTCAAGTAGAGCTGATCAGATTGTAAGAGACAAGAAGGAGCAAGCAGAAAGAGACAGAGAGAGAGAGAGAAAGGGAATTACAGCCCCTTTGCCTGTTTTTTATTATTATTTTTAGGGTTTTGGATCTCAGAGGGTTTATGCTCCCTGCTTGGCTCAAGGGGTGGGGAGGCAGGAATCCCTGCTAAACTGCTGTTTGTTTGTTTTTAATTTTTGAGGGGGGTGGAAATTCAGGACTCCCGAGGAAAGCAGAAAACGAGGAAGAGGTGTTTTTGTTCCGTGTGTGCGTGTGTGTGTGTGTCTGGTTAGGTGGATTTTTTTCATAAAGGGTGCCTCCCTGGACAGGAGCAGTCTATCTCGGAGTCCCCATGGGGCAGCTTGCAAAAGCTCCTTAACAGAGCGTAACAGGCGTGCGGCTCCTCCCTGGATAGGAGCAGTCTACCTCAGAGCTTGCTCCAACAGAGCCTCTCATGACCCACAATGGCTAGGTCGTTCTCTCCTCCGCCGTATGTATCTAGTGTTATTTGGCCACCAGAGGAAGGAAATCATTCAGCTCCCCACCTCCCAAGTCCAGTGGCCTCTCTAAAAAGGCTCAACCCCCCCCCTCCCAGGAAAGGGGGTGCCGTCTTCTTGGCCTCAGGCGACAAGATGCCTTGGGTGGCTCCACTCTTCCTACCGAGGATAGTTTCGAACAAACAGCTGATCGGTCCCCGTTGGGCTGGGTGATCCAGAAGAAACCTCACCACGCCGTTGCAGTCTATCGGGTTGCCACAGACCGGAAGCAAGCAGGGGTGTTTACAAGGGGGGGGGGAGGTTTACCCAACAAGTCCAGCTTACGAGCTTCCTGTGGGCGACCGTGTGGAACGATGGAGGCCATGCGGTGCAGTGGTTAGTCTTAGGAGCGTGAGGCAGAACTGGGTCGTGAAACTCACTGAGGTCCTCTCCCTTCCCGTGGCTCTGTCTCTTTAAGCTGGTCCTACCTTACAAGGCTCTAAGGAGGGCGAAGCAGGAGAGGAAGAGTCACGCAGGCTACCTGGAGTGAAAAGGTGGCCACCTCAATGTCATCATTAATGGCTAAGGACAAGCGGGCCTTGGGGAGGATCCGGCTGCTCCAGGCAGGACTCCTCTGGAGTATTTATATGCCCATGACTACGGCACCCTCACCTCCCTTACTATATAGCATCCGGGGCCTACGTGGCTGCCAAGCTTTTTGGGACATGCCGAGGCACGACCGGAAACCGTCATGTGGCTGGCAGAGCAGGAAGGACGGGGACAAGCTTTTTTTTTTTTAAAAAAGAACATTTAAAAAACAAGAACAACAACAACAAAAGCTTTCTAGAAAGAGAAGAAGAACCAAAGGGTGTGTTTTTGGATTCGATCCCGACTCCAAAAGGCCGCCCACGGATTTCGAAAGGGCACGCCGGGCTTCTGAACCAACACCGGCTCGGGCCGAAGAACTTGGAAAGTTACTTTTGAAAAAGGAATTCCTCCCTTTGGGCCACGTTTGGGAAGGAACATAGGCCCTGCAAATGGATTTGTCACCCTTCCAAAATGCATCTAAAAGTGACCATAGTGCGAGAGGATGCTGATACTTCATCTTCACAGCAACACCCCTTCGAGGCGGGTCAAGTTCTGAGCGAAAGCTTGGCCTGATACCACGTGAAGGACGTCCTGACCGAGCGGACGTTCGAACCTGGGTCTTCCCCGAAGGGCAGGTCTTAGGTTGGAGCCCCTCGGCCCCATGGTTGGGGCTAAAAATGGAGACGGAGGGCTCCTCGTGGAACGCAGGTGCCCTTGGGAACTCCCTGCCACAGGAGGGAGGGATGGGGAATCAGCCCTTGAGGTGTTGGGGAAAGGGACTCTTTTTATAGGATGGGGCGCCTGTCTGTCAAGAGAGGGAACGGCCCAAGGATTTGGGACAGAGTGGTGCAGCTGGGGACTCCCTGTTGACGCGCCTCCTGCCTCCCCCCCCAGGCAGTGCTTCAGTCCATCTTTGGACGGGGGGGGGAGGTGGCGTGGCCTGGCCCTCGTGCCCGGAGGCCAGCGGGGTGGCCCTCGCGAACCCCAGCGACCAGCTGGAAAGCGTTTCTCTCTCCGAGAACCGAGAAGCCGGGTGGAAACATCTGGCCCGAGGAATGTGGCTCGCCAGTGGGGTGCAAATGCCGTCCTTCCTGGGGCCTCAGAACGATGCAGCCTCCCACCCGGCTGCCTCGAACCAGGCCCCCTTCCCCATCTTTCTGCAAGACCCCCACAGACATGTGCTCCGGCACACACACACGCACACACACACGCACGCACGTATATACAATTACTTATCCCATTTCCTCTGATTTCAGGAGGTTCCCATGGCCCGCAGTGCCTTTAGTTCTTTGGCTAGGAGGCTGCCGGGCATCTCCAGAAAGGGGCCAGGGAAGTATTCTGCCTGAACCTCCTCCCCTTATGTGTTCCCACCAGTCAGAGCTGACCCTCCGGAGCGAGAACAGATCCGGATCTGTGCCTCAGTAGAAACTGGCTTCCTCTATTTTTCTTAAACCTTGGTTTTGGGGTACTAAGTGAGGCTGGGATGGGTTCGTCCACCCTCTCGGAGGACCAAGGGGACCTGCTGCTAAGGCCCAGGGCAGGATTGGTGCCGGAACTGGGGGAGGCCGAAGTTGTGGCGATCCTGGGCTAGCTGGCCCTGGGGGTTGGCTCGGGGTCGACCCCACGGCTTTGAAACAGAAGGGGGGAAAAATAAATTGCAAGCGCTCAACGTTCAAATCTCACTGCAAAGGAGATGGGATTGCATGGCGGTGCCCAAGACCGGTTTCCAGATGGGGAGCTGGGGAGAACCCACAGGTTGTAAATGGCTCCCCCCCAAATATACTTCTGTTCGCTCAGTCACCCACCCACCCTCTTTCTCTCTTCCCCCCTCCCCATTTACATCTGACTCAGCGGCAGAGTTCACCGTGTGGGTGGCCCAGCCGGCCTCGCTCAGCGCATTGGTATGTGGCGCTCAATGGCCTGCACCGTTTCCATGCTCCGTGCGCTCTTGAGTTGGCATCGGGGCTGATTTGGAGGCTAGAGAGAGCACAGTTGGGGGGGGGGAACGAAGTGTAATTAATTAATTAATCCTCGCAAGCGGACAGCTCAGGCCCAGGAAGAGAGGCCAGACAGGACCGTATGGGATGCCACCCACCCTCCCATAAACGGGTTTTGCTTTGCTTTTCATGTCCGTGGGTTGAACAGTCTTGTGATGTCAACGTTGATCCCTCCAGATTGGACCTCTTTTCCCCCTGGCCTGGACCGCCGCCCTTTGAGAGCAAGTGTCCCCAATTTGGTGGGTGGGGATGATGAAGAAGAGCAGTGTGGGGTAAGCGGTTAAAGTTTGGCTCTGGATATACCATTTCAAGCCACCTCCTGATTGAGCTGTGACCTGAGGTTCTTGTTGGTGGATCTTCTGGGCTGGCTCTCTTCACGGGCAACTTCACCCTGGCGCCTTCCAGATCTCTTGCATTACAACCCACCCCCCCACCCCCCGGGAAGAGACAGGGCAACAGACAGAGCGGTGGAATTCCCTGCCACAAGACATAGACCGCTGGCCGGGGATGGCTCAAAAGGACAATGAGGCAAATGAACAAAGGCGGAAGACTTGTGTTCGGCCACATTTAGCTCAAAGGTGCCTCCCATGTGAGCATCCGCTCTCCAGAATAGGCCTAGGAGGCATGTTCCAGGAGCTTGCCGACAAGTGCCTAGGTGTCGTCGTGAGCGAGTACAGAAATTTAGACCGTCGCCGCCCGGGGATCCTAACCCCATGCATGGCCAACGCACACACTGACACAAAGACCCTGCTTAAGCCCTTGCTCGGGTTCCCTTGGCTTCTGCGTCCGGCTTTTTTTAAAACCGCGATCTCCCTCCATGGGTGATGGGCTTTCTGATACCAAATCCCTGTGCCTCCATTTAAAGGGGGTGGCAGAAGGGGGAGCGCTCAGAGATTATTTTAAAAGCCAAAGGGGGCTGGCCCAGAGTTGGGGAGAAGGCGATTACTTCCAGATGAGCATTTAAGGAAACTTAACATTCCTCAGGATACTTAAGAGAGTGGGAGGTTTTTGTGTGTGTGTGTGTGTGTGTGTGTGTGTTTTGCTCCCACCTCCCCAGCCCTCGATTTGGAGTTTCTCCGTGGATGCCATTGCAGAGATAAAGAGACAAGCCTTTAAAAACTTCCCTCTTTGGGCAGAGAAGCTCCTGTCCTGTTTACTGAGATGGGTTCTGAAGCCACCACCTCCTAAGCTGGCACGCAGCTTTTTGTTGTCAGAAAGCGAAATGAAACCTCCTGCCCGCCCATCGCCCCAAACCTTCTGATGCTATGCCCAGCGTGAGCCTGGCCAAAGCAAAGCCCAGTTTGAACCAACCAGCTCTCTTGTGGGCAAAACTCCCAGGGGTCATGGGTCTACTGAAAACAAAACAAAACATGGTACTCCAAAAGTTCAGAATAGCATCTTAGGCAAAAGGTCCCTTCTCTGCCCCAACATGCTAGTCTTTTCACTGCAGGGCGTTAGGTAGGTAGGGGAACCAGGAGAGGGTCAGGGTTTGTCCGGAAGGGACGGTCCAAATTTCCTTCTCATGGTTCTGCTGGATGTTGGGAGTCTCCTCCAAAGGGCTTTTCTCGCAAAGAAACTGAGCAAAGGCCGGAGAACCCAGATCTCGCAAGGCCATGAGGTTGGGAGTTCGAATCCTGCCCTGGGCCTACTGGACAGGATGATCCAGAGGGTCCCTTCCTGATCTGCTGTTCTAAGACGATTATTGCCTGCTGCTCTTTGGACGTCAAGCCGCACGAAAATGGAACAGATGGGCGAAAACAGGAAATAGGAGAGGGACAGGACTGGTGGGATGAAGGGACCGACAGGGCAGACACAGGAGACCAAGAAGGACTGAGGGGAAGGTCTGATTAAGCTCCAGGATAAAGGTACATCCAGGACTCGCCTGCAATTTTCCTGCAGCTATTTCGACTGAGATGTTTTAAACAGCTTTGAATTGGCTTCAATTTTACGATGCTCAACAGTCCCACTGTGTATTAATATTTATAATGCCTTCTTAAAGAAAGCCACTCTCCAACTCGACCCTCAGCCCCATCTTCAGAGGAAGGTGGGGTGTAGGCTGAATAAACAGGCAACCCGTAAGTCAAGGGAACAAAGAGAGGAAGGCGAGAGATGGATGGAAATGACGGCAGATGCCAGGGCAACCCTGAAAAGCGCCCGGCTTGCGGGGGCTTTGCTGCCAAACGGGCAACAAGAGATAAAACATGTGTGTGTGAGATCTTTGGGGCTGGAGAGCTTCAAAATAGGAACGGTAAACCTTCCAAGAGGGGCAGAAAGAGGGTGGCTGTCAGTGGGAGGCTTTTGGACTGGAGCTTAACCAGGTGGCTGCAGCTGCGGGGAGTTCAAACGGAGATGAGACGCCTCTTTTCCCTCCCCCCCCCACAAGGTCCCCCTTTCTGTACACAAAAGAAGACGCGCCAAGCAGCGGGCGGAGGGGAGTGTGTGTGTGTCGTCTTGTTTTTATTGTGTTTTCCCCAAAGCAGCACCTTCTTTGCCGTGGTGTCTTCCCCGCGGCTCAAGAAAAAAGAAGATACAAAAAAGGGGGGGAGGGGTGTTTCCAGGCATCAGCAACTGGCTCGCCAGGCGGGTAAGGACGATGGGTGGCTTCCGAAGACCGGCGGCTCGAGGCGAAGGGCCGTCCTGAATTCCCTGCAGAATCCCATGAGTGTCTTCATTCTTCTGCCACTAAAGTGTCTTCCGGCTCTCTGTCACTGCTCCTGTCGAAGAAAGGAGACTGTCTGGACCACCCCCACACACACATGATCAGTTTGCACTACAAAACCCATGATCCCCAAGCCTGCAGTGCCACGGGAGGGTTGTGTTCCTCAGAGGAGCCCCTGAAAGCTCCCTTCCAACCTCCTGCTTATGTGAGAAACAAAAGGCTGGTTTTAAGTACAGGTTTCTTTTTCCGCAGAACTCCAACATAAAGCAACCACGTCAGCCAACCACGTCCACTGCGGTTTTCAGGCGGGTGTGACTTTTTCCCTGGGTTCACGTTGGGGACGAGGGGAGGGCAGGGGTCTGTGAAAAAGTCAACAGTGTCATTTATAAGTTTTTTTTTTCTTTTTAAAAAGGCTGTTTCACAACCCTGCGGGAAACGCTGACGCAGTTCGGTCGGAAGGTTTTGATGCGGGCGGCTAAGTGGTCTGGAGCTCCTCAAGAACCCGGTCCTCCGACACACACCCCCCCCAGGATGCTAGGCTGCCAGACAACCCTCCACCCTGCCCCCCCCAAAGTCATCTGTGAATTAATGAATCAGTTCCTACCGAGTCTCCACGAGGCACCAGGCAGTATTGCTAAAACCAAGCAGTTTCTGTCCAGGGAGCCGACGACGTCTCCCATGCTCTCCCCCACTGTGCGTGCCCGCCAGATGTGCTAGCCTAGAAATTCCATGTTCCTCAGAAGGGTCCATGGGACAAGGGCTGCTCCCAGACACCAGAAATCTTGACATGTAAAGATGGAGCTGAACCCTCTGTGTGAGCTTTCTGCCAGGCGGCCAAGGCCTTTACAACGAGGGCGGTTAGTGGCGACTGATTCCTGGGGGTGGGGTAGGTTTTTCAACTGAGTTTTAAATCTACATTTATTGTTCTGAGTCCTGCTTGCAGGAGAGACACAGAATTAATAAACGGCAGGAGCGATATTCCTGTAGGGCGGGATGAGGCCAGTCTAGATGCCATATACAAGACTGGGAGGGAGAAGCTGTTGCCAGAGAGGAACTGGGTGGCAAAAAGAACAACGAACTCCCGAGCCCACAGTCAACATCTTTTGGCTGGAGAGTGCATCACGCTGAATGCTGTGTCTACGGAACTACCCTCTGGTTGACACTTCCAAACATGTGGGAACAGAAGACAGCCCAGATTCAAGTTAAGGCCAAAGGTATGAATTTAAATTTATCTGGAAGTTGGCTGTAATCTGCTCTGGGCTCAAGTGAGATGAGGGTTTTGTCCCACTCTGCGAGCAGGGGAACGTCTCAGTAGAAGACAGCACATCACCCACACGGGATACGAGGACATGCAGAGAGGAAGCAACGCCCAACTCTGGGTCCCACATAGGCAGCCTCTGCGTCTGACCGCTGGGTTAGACCAGAGTCCCTACATTCCCAGGAGTCGAAACAAATCTAACCGACAAAACCCTCTTGGGAGCAAACGCCCACCAGAAAAACCGACCGCCGTTTCTGGAATTCGTGCCCCCGCGTGGAGCAAAGATCCCAAGGCTGAACCCACCTTGACAAACCTTCCATGGAGAAGGTAAGGAGACTGGAAATCATGTTGACAATTTGAATAAGCCATTCCTAGGCCCATCCCGGACCCGAAAGCAAGGGGCCACGTCTTCCCTGGAACAGAAGAAAGGGGGAGGGAAGCGAAATCAGAAGGAACAGAAGGTCGTCCAGATCCCAAATCCAGAAGATCCCCAAGGTTCAACAAGAAGGGCGTCCCTCACAGCTGCCACAATGGCGTAACCAAAAGACTGAGCCGTGAATCGGGGCAGGCTCTGAATTCACCAGGGGAGCCTCGAGAAGCAGCTCCCTCTTGGCCTCGATCGTCTGAGCGGAAAGAGTACAAGAGAATAGGCAAACTTGACTTTTAAAGTTCCTCTAGCAGTTCATCTGTGAGAACACTGTAATTCGGGGGGGGGGGGGGTGTGAGGCTGAAGGCCATTCCCACAACCCCTGAGAAACTCACCTCCAGAGAAACTATTCTGGAAGGCGGAAAAAGACGGATGGAGCTGCAGCGCACCTTGCAAACGTGTGGCGGATCTCAGTCTTAACATTCAAAAACCAATTTCACCAAACCGGGGGCGGGGGGGGGACTTCTTCAAACCTCCAGTTATATTTCTGTCAGGACATCTGCCCACCCATGCACAAAAATTTTTTCTTTTGCACCGACTGATTTTGCTTCAAATGGCAGCAGTTTGGTCTTCCGACGGTGCCTTCCCCCTTAGACGGTGGACCCCCCCTTTCACATCCCGCGATGTGTATGGGGAAGAAAAGCCAGGTTTAAAAATGGGACTGCGGCGTCGTGTTTGAAAACTCAGATGGTTGTCATCGTTTTATAAACAGAAATGCGGGATTTGTATAAATACACATTTAAAATGTTTACCGAGGCGCAGACGGCAGGAAGGCCTTCTGCAGCTCTCCCCTGGGCGCCTGCAGTTCATGGTGTGTTTTTTCCCCCTCCCCTCCTCAGCAAGGCAAGTTTTATTTAAGGAAAGGAAAATAGCAGAGGGACCTTCCGGAGAAGATCACTGTTTAGAAAAGGTGACTAAGCCTTCACGAAACAAGGACCACCAGAGAGGAGAAAAATAAGTCATCGCCGTCTTAAGGACCCCAGCTTGGGAGAAAGAGTGGGAGAGAAATGAGAAGGAATAAACAGCAGTGGAGAGCTGTCGGCCCGGAAGGGAACCCAAGAGGTCCTATAGTCCCACCCCGGGCCCCTGCAGGGAATCCTTGGCAGGAGCTACCCCCTGAAACACGGCCCTCCGACCTATCTAGAAGTTTCCAGTGGGATCTGCCGCTCTCCAAGGTAGTCTTGGCTGGCGAGACAGCTGGAGACTCGCCGCCTTCGATGGCTAAGGAGCCCGTATCTCAAAGCAGCCGTTTCTCACAGGAGGGACCCAGAGAGTCGAGGCCCACTTACTTTTGAAGAAGATGACCGAGAAGACCACGCCCAGCCCAAAACCGGCGCCTGCAAGGGAAAAAAAACAATGCAAAGTGTGAGTAGAGGGGGCCGGGCAATGGGCACGGAAGAAGCCAACCGCCTGCCGCCCACATGGTTTTTGGTTACGACGCAGAGGAGCGTGGCCAAAGATCACCGGAGCGACACCATGGGTGCTCGGGTGCCTGTAGAAGGATTCCCATGTCTCTTTGGTAACAGAAAGGATGATGTGGGGAAGACGGGTGGATTCCCCTGGTGGTGGTCTTCCGCCCCTGGCACGGGGATGGACTAGACCAGGGGTTCCCCACCTTGGGCCCCAAGAACACTCAGGACACCATGGCACATATATTACCTGGGCAGCACGCGAGGAACACTCTCAAGGCGCAGCCGGGACCCTAGAACCGACAGCTGGATCCGATAAACCTCACCTTGTGGATGGCGGTGGGTTTAAGGCTAAGCCCAGCGATGGGAGCAGAGCGGTCCTCTGCTCCCGTCTCCTCTCTACGGCCTCCCCTTCTCTTGAGCCCATCGTCTGGCGCAGCCAGCGACCCTTTGGCTTTTATTCCCTGTCCGTTTGTTTGCTTTGTAAGCGAGACCTTTCATGTTTTATTGTTATGGAGTTAAAAGGCTAGCCTGGAGGTGCCGCGCTTTAGTGGAAACAGCTGCCACCGCCTGATGTCCCTCTCGGTCAGGTGGGAGGCCCTTTCCAGGAGCAAACAATGAGCCTGCCGAGAGAGCCCGCGACTGGGACCTGCAAAAGCCATCTTCCAGGAGGGCTGCCTCGACTTTCACCAACCAGGAAAGGGGGTTCTGGTTGGGCGCATGTGGCGGAACCCCCTCCACGGCTGTGCCACCTCTTCGGGCGCTGAAAAGAACCGGCTTCCCACGTCTTTGGGAACCTTCGCTCAGAAGCCCAAGTCGGCACGGCCACTAGACATTGTGCTTAGGGGATTCTGTGAGGAGGGGTCCAAAAAGTAACTTTTCCAAGCTTGGAGAACAACCCTCGGGAGACAAGAATTAAGCTCACCGAATCAAGGACTCCCACGTCCAAGCCGGCTGTGTCTCAAGACAGGCTCTCTACTGCTTTCCCCCATTTTTATTTTTTAAAAGGTGCAACTAGAGAACTTTGCCAGAACCCAGCAGACTTCGTTCAAGATCCTCTGCAAACAGGCTTTGTTTAAAACTTTCAGATTCATTCCCAAAACGATGGCATTCAGGGAAAGCCTGGCTGATGACTAAGCCTCCAGCAGCTGCTGGTCAAAATGGATATATATTATCTCCACCGGTTACCATAAACTGTATTATTTGCTGCTTATGTTTATATCTGTTTACATCAACATACATGTTTTTATTACACACACATTTGCAAACCGCCAATCTGCCTCGCTGGAGCCCGGCCACTTCACTGCACTTATTAATTTCTATCCGGTCTCTCTCTCTCTCTCTGTCTCTCTTTTTTTTTTTACAGGCGTCCTATCCAACAATCCTGTGAGGTGGATCAGGTCGAAAGGGAGCGATGTTTGGCCAAGGACACCGGATGGGTTTCAAGGCTGGCCAAGGACCAGCTCTGCTCATGGGCGTCTGTCCGGCCACTAAGCAAACTGGATGCAAGGCCAGATGGGCCTTGCGTTTCGTCCTGAAACTGTCTTCCCATGACATGTTAATTCCTGCCTTGAAAGACAGAAAAAAAAACCCTCCATGAAACTATCTCGAAGATGGGGCTGTACGCTTCTGAATGGTCCATGCTTCTTGGTCTTGACTTTTAAGTTTCTGTTGGGAAAATACAGCAACAGGAAGAAACTCCTTTTAGCCCAGGTAGTGGATCGAGTTCGAATCAATTCTTGGGGGCTGGACGCCTCCTTGGTTGGCAGGAACAAAGGCAAAAAGATTCAGGAAAGGTTATTCCAGGAGATGAACAGAAATGGATGAAGACAGAAATCTCGGGTCCTGCTTCGTGGCTGCCTTTTAAAGGAAGTTTTAATAATAATATTTAGATGATATTCTGCTCTGCTTAGTACTGTACAAGCCAAATCGGATGGTCTGCCCTCATTATTTCTGTTGGCCACGTGACCCACGGTGGGCAGATGTGAAACTATATTTAGTGGACGTGTCCCAAGATATTAAGATACTGGGAGCCAGTTCTTATCCAGCCACAGATGTTTTGCCACCGAAAAGTAATTAAAGGGTCCTCCAAGTCATAGGGTCCAGCTATATTTTATAAAAAATTAGCTTTCTTTCCCTGAAGGAGCTAAAACAGACACTCTTCCCACCATTCGGTCATGCTATGTTCCTTTTAGCTATAAAAGCAAGTTTTAAGAGTTACACCGAGGCTCTCCCAGAGGTGTAGAACCTCTGGATTTTGCTAGGAGCAGAAAAGCGATCTCTGGCTGAATTTGAATCTTACTGCGATGTAGTTAAAAGATTACTACTAGGCAAAAGGAATTTGCTGGAAATAACTGGTCATTGTAACTAGTTGGTTCCAAGCTTTGATCTAGGGTTGTCGCTCTGTTTTGTAGGCTCTGTTTAGGCCGCATTTCTGTTGAAATAAGCACTCCGGGAAGCACCAGGTCCCGAATGAGGACTGTAGCGTCTCTCTGGAACAGCTGGTCCTGAACTGGGGCAGGGGGAGAGAAAAGAGCGAGGCTGTTTATCCTCTTTAAAAAACAAATTACCATCTGCAAAGATCCATCAAACATTGAAACTGTTTGGCCCCTTGACCCCAGGCCTCAGTTCCTCTGCTCTGCAGGGGCTGAGCTGCTGCCCTTAGGAGGAAGACCGGCTGGAATCTCAAGTCGCTGAGCAGAAAAAAAAATGCTTATTTCAGCATGGGAAAAAAAGAGCAGGGAGGGTGTCTGCTGAAATGGCCTGGTTGTCGTGAACTGCTTTGTCTGCTTTTTTTATGTTTTCCTGCCTGGAGAGGACCACCGCTCTCCCGCTGCCCACTGAAACAGGTTAGCTCATCTTGAAGAAATGACGGAGAGCAGAAACCCTGACTGGGCATCCTCCTCACGCCAGGTTGGCAGGAGGGAGAAGGCTCTCTGAACCCCTGGCTCTTGTCCATTTGACAGGACCCAACATCTCAAGGAGGCCTTGTCAAAGATCACAAGGTTCCCTGGCTCTCCCTGCAAGAGCGAAACCAAGAGGACTTCCCCACATCCAGGTTTCCTCCATGTGCCCAAAAGGTCTCCGGCCGCCTCCTGGGCAAACTTGGTAGCCATTCCCTTTGAGTAGCCACAGACCCTCTTGCTACCCCAGGAAGACTGGCTGGTTCTTTTAAAAGAGGCAACAAACAAAGCCATCCAAGGCTCCTCTTTGGCGGCCGCTTGGGAGTCCTGTCTAGTTGGCATGGTTTTTGCATGCGCTGCGCATGATGTGCAAAAAAGAAGAGCATCTCGCCCTGCCACAGGGCAAGCAGAGAAAGGCTGTCATTCCTTACTCTCGGGCAAGCACGGAGAAACCTCCCTAGGATTTTAAAAAAATCAATGGCACACCACCCTTTGCTTCCTGTTCTCTGTTCAGAAGTTGTCCCTGGGCATCGTTCAAGGGAAAGACCGGAGGCCTGCCTGTATTATTAAAAAGAAAAATAAATCAAATGCCCCCTTCCCCATCAGGGAAGGTTACATAACCTCTTTTGCTCCGGTCGGATTCTGAGCAATTAATCCCCTCACGACGATCTCCACTGACTGCCAAGAAGAGGAAGAGTTAAGCAGCTGTAACTTTCTCTCCCCGCCTGGGTTTGGGAAACCATTCATGGGGATACTTTTCCATTCCACGAAGTAGTTGGGGTTCGGTGATCATCACCAAGGAAGGGTGAGCCAGCCTTTCTTGGGAACCAACAAACCAAAGCACTCGGCATGTACCTGGATGCGAGACACCCGGCCCCGCTCCAGAGTGAGCCCGGGCGGGTCTCAAGCAAGAGACGTGCCTAGTGGATGAACAGGGGGAGTCAGTGTTCTTGGCTGGGTTGGGCACCAAGAGACAGGCAGACGGATGGAGCAGCCCAACCCGCTGATGGGCTTTGTGGCTCCCGCGTCTTGCACGCAGGGTTTCCTTGAGAAGGCCTCCCACCTGAGCCGAAGGATTTGGACAGAGGCATCTGTTTCCACTAAAGGTCGGCACCTCCAAGCCGGGCTCTAAATTCATAACAATAAAACATCAAAGGTCTTGCTTACAAGGAAAACAAATCGAGAGAGGGAATAAAAAACACCCAAGATCTCCCGATGGCAGACCCCTCTGGCCTCTCGTGATGAATAATTCCCCCCACCCTGGCTGTGACAAGTTCAGAAAGAGGGACTTCTTGGCAAAAGCCTGCGCCGTAGGAAGAAAGCATTCCTTCTAAGAATATTCCCTGTCGCTTCCACACAGGACCGACCACGCAAAAAGGACACTGCCAAGAAACAGACCCAGGCTCAGAGAAGGTTTTTGAAGGCTCTACGACGTTGTCATCCTTCTCTGGTACCTTTTAAAAAGTCGCTTATTGGTCTCCTTGGGCTGCTCTATTAAATCAGAACTCACGGCACAAAGCAAAATGCAAATTACAAAAAAGGAAGATAGAGTTACAGCACATCCAAACCACGTATAAACCTAGCAGTTCTGCACTTTGTATTTTCCGGTGTCGGAACAAAGGAAGGATTAGGGATGAAGGCGCATTTGTGGGTTTTCTTCAAGGAGCACCGGGCAATTTCTGAGCTTGCCCCGTCGAGTAGAGACACATCCCACGGCGGTTAATATCCCCTCCAAAGGAGGACGCATTCATGAAACGGAGGCCAGGAAAAGATGAGCATGTTCCCAGGCTGAGCTCTGCCAAGGACAAGTGGATTAAGATGTTCAAATCATTTCCTCCACGTAATCATTTCACAATCTATCATTAAGGCTGTTTCAAAGCGAGATTCCGGATGATCCTGCCTGTTTGTGCTCCTTGGGCACAAGGTGCAGCTGTGGTTTCCACATGTGCCTCTTTTGGGGGACATTGGATAAAACCAGCCGCCTGCCCTCCTGCCCACACAGCCTGCCTTTCAGGAACCAGAGCATCAACAGGGACGCCTTCTGAGCCCACCTTTCATCCAGAGAAGTTACCCTAATGCCGACACCGTTTCTCTGTCACATTAAAACCAGTTCCCGACCACTCACGAAACAGGTGCCGCTAATGCTGGCCAGGGGGGAATCTGAAATGTTTTAGAAGGTGTAAAAGCTCTGGGCTTTCGGGGGAGAACTGCTGTTTGTCCTGGATGGACTGCTGATCTCAGTACATCTCTTGACAGCTGACAGAACGGTGACTCCTACAGATTCACCACAGGCGCTCAAGCCGTCTGCTCTTCCTCCGAAGGTGGCTGGCATCCAATCCTCCTGTTAGTCAGGCAAGATTAAGGTTGCGTTTACCGGAGATGAGGAGCAGACTGTCTGCGAGGCAGAGGCACCTACAAGGTCCTTCCGATGTTATCTCCGATCACTGATCGGAGACAGTCTAGGGAGCTGTTGCATCAACCCGAGCCAGAATCGTTGATGGAGAGAAACGATAGAGACTCAAAAGAGTGGTGGCAACCGAAGCCGCTGAAAGGAAGGCGGTCTGAGCTCATGGAGTTGCCAGGATCAGACCATCCTGCATTTGGTATCTTTAAATCCAGGGGCCTCTGGGGTTTCTTACCCCCTTTAATGGCTTTCATCTACAGTTAGGGGAAGCCCTTGCAGGAATTAACAGCACAGATGTTTAAAAACCCTGCTGTTGATTTTTCTGAATATTTTTGCCAAACAGTTTTTAAAAGGTAGATGGCAAGACATAATATAAACCTCCTAAGGAAATAAATGAAATTTGGGGGAGGTCTGGAATTTTCCATGGGAAAATATGGATTATATTTTTTCTCCCTCTTAGTTGCATGGGGTTCTTGATAGTTTCTCACCCAAGAATTGATCTGGTCCACAGTGCTTCAGAGTCAGCAAAACCTCAGGGCTACAGATTCGCAGGTCATGATAGTAGCCCCTGGTGAGGACAGAAGTGGACTCTCAAGTAGAGAACTGCCGATTTATGCTTAGCTTTGCGATCGCGTCCCCGGCTCTATGCATGGGTGTATAAATTTCTGATTCCATTTCCGTGAGTATTGCTTCTCCAGCTTACACTCTGGGCTAAAGATCTGTGCCCAAACATGATGCTGACTCACTTCAGCAAGCCATGAGAAACTCTTGCTGGGAATCTCTGCCAGGGCTCTGCAGGTGGGAACAGGAGCACATGGGTGTATTGCGCAATAGGGGGGAGAGCCTGATTGTCAACATGAGAAATTCACCGGCAGAGAGAGAGAGAGAACACACACCTGCTAGGGAATTGTGTGTGTAGTGGTTTACATGAGGCCACTCTTGAGGATCTGATCCCACCTGGCCCCCAAATGATGCTCTCCAGAGTTTTTGTCCCTGGAGATGCACCAGCTCCAGTCAAATATGATCAACAGCCTGGAATTCTGGGAGCAGCCGGCCCAAACCTTGGAAAACTTCCAAAAGGCTGGTGCAAGGCTACTTGCCTTGAGCTCTCTTTTCAGTGGGGACAGCCAAGGTAGAAATCTCACAAAGAAGTCTGGAAGCAGGACTAGACGCGGGCGTTGCCAGACTCTCCCTGAGCCACTCCAGCAAAGGTTCCTGTTATCGTGATCTTAATCCCACGAACAATGCAATCTTCTCAGGCAGGCCGGTGGCAATTCACCTCTGTCCAATTAAGATCAAATTATTATCGGGCGCAGAACGGCAGAGCCGAAAATTGCACCGACAAGCGCAAATTAGCTATGAACCCATTTGCAATTCAAACTGACTTATGTTTTGTTTTGAATGCTACCCATCGCAGGTAAACAAGTTTTATAATACGAAACTTGAAAGGGCTTTCCTGTGCATGGGAAAGGCTGAAGACAGAAACCTCACCGTCCCGGCCAGCTTGAGATGCCTGGAGGCAGCTTGTGCAACCCTGGCTTCAGAAAGGTACGTGCCGGTGTGGTGAGCAGTTCATGGCCGGCTGCTTAACTTCTAGGGAGGGAACTCTGGGAAACTTTTCTCGCTTAATGAGAATTCCACTATATGGAGGGGGGGAAATCAATGTGTCTCACAGTATCTGAAAGACCAATATGTTTTATCGGGCATGCAATTTTATTAACTGCTGCCCGCTTCAGGATTCAGAGCTGTGGCTAAGTTCAGAGTTTGGTACTCATTTCCTGCCTTTCGTGACCCCAGTGAGAATCCCACCGCCCAGACCATGCATGGGGTCAATTTACTGATATTAAGGATATACCTCTTCTCTTCCTTGGCATCATTTAAAGGAAACAACAACAGTATGAGCCTTTTTTTTTAGTCCTAAGACTTTACACCGACCGGCTTAGAAAAAGTACCCCATCTTTTAAAACTCGAGGGATTTTTTCTCTCTTAACAAAGTATTTTTGGATCTGGGCGTTTTTGTTACAGGAAAGGAAGAGCAAGGTACGAGGCTACTTTGTGAATTCAGAGGTTCCTAAATACTCCTGTTTGCCTCCACAGCACACAATCGACAGACAGCTTGGTTTCGAGTCGGCGATGGCAGTGTGATATAGCGACGCCATCGAATTTTAGAGCGAGATCCGGACACTTCTCAGCCCATTAGATTCGGATTTATGATGAATAGGCTAGGAGGCCCCACAATCTGATTCTATACAAGGCTGCTCCTTACGTTCCTAGTCCTGACAGCCACATTGTGTTCCAGTGTATTTTAAGCGGTGATTCAAAAAACGTCCAGCTGATACCGATGAAACATGGGTGTGTTTGCTCTACTCCTCTAGAGGAACGCCAACAGGCCTCCAAGGTGCTGCTCAGCCTTAAAAGGAGGGTAGCGATGGAGGCTTTATTGGCACATAACGGTTTCACCACCTCCTACAGGGCCTACATTAACGCCAGGAATCTGCAGCTTTGCCTCTAGGCCCTCCAAGAGGGGCATCCCCTGAGGATCACACACACACACACACACACAAATGGATGGATCGGAAGCTGAAACAAACATCGGCACCCACGTTGCGGGTTTTTTTGGCAACTAGTTTGCCACATTTTCATACGCTGAACAATATACTGTATAATGCAGCGTAATTTGCTTTGGGGACCCCATTGGGCGGAAAACCAGCAGGAACATTGAGTCCCCCACCATTAGCAAAAGCGGGCCATGACTTCTGTAAGGGTGCCCCATTTCCATGCTGTTTTTCATACACTGGGATATATAGAGGCTGGGAGTTCGAATCCTCCCCTGGGCCTCCAAGACAGGGGCTGGACTGGATGATCCTTGGGGATCCCTTCCAGCTCTGCAGTTCTAAGATGATGATGATGATGGCAACGTGTTTCACGCTGTTATTATTGCATCATCATCATCATCATCATCATCATCATCATCATCATCATCATCATTATTATTGCAATGTGTTCGACGCTATGATGATGGCAACGTGCTTTGATGAGAACCGCCTCCAAGACCTCTCCCCCTTGCA